TTTTTTTTAAATTTTGCAACTATGAAGTTAACGTTTGGTTTTGTTACTTGTTCTAACGATTAAATAAATTTTGTTTAATTAGTAAAAAAATTTTATTTAAAAAAATTGACCATGTTTTTCAACATAAAAGTAGATTTTTCTCGAAAACGGTCAACTTTAGAGCTTATGACCAAGAGTACTTTTTTTGTGTAGAAAACATTGGCGGTTCAAATGGGCGTCTCAAAACCGTACTTTTTCCAGTGGCGTAGAAGTTGGGGAGAAAAACACCCACTTCCCCTTCAAAATCTTCACCAATTATGACTTTGAAAAAATTTTTTTCTCGCGCAGAACATAGCTTATTATGAGTAGTAAATGCTTACAAAAGCTGTTTTCTGTACGATAAACGGTTCCGGAGATATTTGCAAAAAAACTAAATTTTTTTTACAACTTCAACACCCTGTATCTCGAAAATTGTGCATTTTAGAGGGTAAGTTAATACAAGCTTTTTTTCAAATTTTTGGACGAGCTATCACATCCTGAAGTCCTGCGCATATATTATGAAACACCCTGTATTTTGTTGAACTTATTTGAAATTTGACTTGCGAAAAAATGTTTTTATCAGACTCTATAAATCTTTTTAAAATAATCTTTGAAGATTTACGTATAGAAATTGCATTTTTGTTAATTCTGTTGGACAAAAACCTATTGATAATGTCAAAACAACAAAATATAAAAAGTATTCCACCCTCATGATTTTATTTACTGCTTTATGAATAAGTTACCGGGTTTGTGCACCTCTACTAGTAGTAGTTGAGTTCCGGACAAGTCATGCTTAATACAGCTAAGATTACTATCTTGAAGCAACAGTGTGGGAATTACCTATCACTGCTACATGTGCAAGTAGGCGTTGTATATTAATTGACGTATGTAAAAGAAATGTTACTGTCAGATATCGGAAATTTGTTTATTATTCAACTGATTATTCATTTTAATCAGGTCCTTAAGCGACATTCAGCAGCGATTACAAGAATAATAGTACTTATTCAGATTTTTAACAAAAGCTAGAAATCAAGCAGTTTTCTAAACTGGAGTAAACAAAATAGTTTGTGGATTTTTAAGCTTTTTAAAGTTAGGAAGGATTTGTGGCCTTATGGAGCAAATATGACTTCGATTCGTGTTCAGAGACATGGATATACAACAGGGTGGCCAAATGAAAACGAAACAGAGCCATTTTCAGGAACTGCGTCAAGATTGTAAAAAAACGCTCAGACCCGTCGATTTTAGATTAAAGGGGGACATTCTTTGCTGGTATTTTCGACTCCGCCACTTTCACCCCCAAGCAAGGGTAAGCATCACCCCAAAATATTTAAATGGCATTGGGGGTTGAGTAATATTTCTTTTGAAAGCTCTTACAATTCTCTTTACAACAGACTTTAAATTTTATAATTCCGCCCAATACTTTGAAAAAAATTTACATTTTAAAATTTAAATTATGTTTAGTTGCTTACTTACTACTTAGTTGATTAAATGTTCAAACTGATGACCGCCCGCTTCCATACAAGAATAAAGATTTTGTTCGAAACGTTCGCGCACATTCCGAAGCATTTCCGGAGTGATTCGACGGCATTCGTCGACGATTCTTTGACGCAAATCTTCCAGCGACGCTGGCTGTGTTTTATAGATTTTACTTTTTAGGTATCCCCACAAAAAGAAATCAAGGGGCGATAAATCCGGTGATCGTGGAGGCCACTCAATGCTGCCTCTTCTCCCAATCCAATTCCGTAGAAAACGTTGGTCCAAATACTGACGGACAATTAACGCATAATGCGGAGGAGCACCGTCCTGTTGAAAAATCAAATGATCTTCATCATACTCTGGAACATTTTCAATAATATCAGTCAAGGCAGGGTCAATAGCGTCTTCCAGTAATTGCAAATACATTTGGCCAGTCAAATTACCAGGTAGAAAAAAAGGACCCACCAGCCGGTCACCGAAAATTCCAGCCCATACATTTAATTTTTCCGGTTGCTGTGTATGCACCTCGTGAAAAACTCTTGGGTTTGAATCGGACCAATAGCGGCAATTGTGACGATTTACCGTCCCGTTCAAGAAAAAACTGCATTCATCAGAAAAACAGATGTTAAAAAGGAACTGTGGATCGTTCCCTGCTCGCTCACTCATTATTTCGCAAAATTGCAAACGGCGGTCATAATCATCCTCATGAAGTTCCTGGACTAAATGTATTTTGTATGGATGGAATTTATTCTTCTTCAAAATGGTTTGTATGCTAGTTCGATTGATCCCAGACACAGATGCCAGCTGCCTCGTACTTAATGTAGGATCAAGATGAACTTGTCCCAAAACTGCAACTTCACTAGCTTCATTAACTATAGGTTTTTCAATTTCTCGTTTTTTATTGGCTACGTTCCCTGTCTCTTGAAATTTTTTTACTAACTCTAGAACATACTTCCTCCTGACATGTCGATCTTGATGTTGTTCATTAAATAGCTGAGCTGTTCTATTCGCACATTTATTGTTCATAAAGTAAAGCGAAATGATATCTACCCTTTCCGCAATGGAATAAACCATAGTGTTTAATTTTCAAAAACACAATTAAATAAACTACCAACCAACGCTTCCAAATAATACTAGAAAATAATTTGGAATCCACTAATTTTACGTTCATTGTGTGTGTATAGCATTCATTTCTGTTTTTTACAATTGTGTTTTTTTTACGAAAGTGATAACAAATCGCCAAAAACCAATGTAACGCAAGAAATACTAAATTTATACCATTGGCGTACTTAACTCGAATGACTGACATTTTTACCGTTACTAATTGTTTGTACATAAGTTTCAACTTTAAAATCAAAATTCTTAATAAGTATTGGGCGGAATTATAAAATTTAAAGTCTGTTGTAAAGAGAATTGTAAGAGCTTTCAAAAGAAATATTACTCAACCCCCAATGCCATTTAAATATTTTGGGGTGATGCTTACCCTTGCTTGGGGGTGAAAGTGGCGGAGTCAAAAATACCAGCAAAGAATGTCCCCCTTTAATCTAAAATCGACGGGTCTGAGCGTTTTTCTACAATCTTGACGCAGTTCCTGAAAATGGTTCTGTTTCGTTTTCATTTGGCCACCCTGTATAAAGATCTGATCACTAATTTCATCGGCTGATTTTATATGCTGATTTGTCGGTTTTGTGGGTTTGTTGTGTTATGTGTGGTATTGTTGTTGTGTTATGTGTTGTGTTGTTGTTGTGTTTGTTGTGGGTTTTGTGGGTAAGCATTTTTTGATGTTAGAACATTTTGATGATTTGCTGGGACAATTCTGACATCGGATTCGCATTCAGCGGATCAAAATACTTGGGAATAATGTATTCTGGTCATTGGCACAAGACTTTTTTTTGTGGAGCTGTGTAATTAATAAATGTTGAAAATAAGTAGTACTTAGATGTTTTCTGAAAAACAATTTAGGTAGGCTGTGAAATATAATTGAAGTTTTCTGAAACCAGAATTCAGAATTTTTTAGTTTACATTTTCTAAGATCAAATTAGCTAGTCTGAAATATTCAAGATTGAAATACGCCTCAAAAAAACGTAAATAGTTTAATAAATTAGCTGTGATATTTTTAACATGGAAATTAATTTTTGCAATTATTTGAAAGTAAACAAAAACGAACTTTTTTCAACGGGTTATTTGATACAGTATTCTAGACCCGTTACATTTTTTTCCGACCAGTAACAATCGATTGTACGTCGCTGTATGTAAAAGCAACAAACGATTACTTAAAAACATTCATTTCGACATGAGAGCCATAACAATTAAGTTTAATCTAAATGCTTGACTAATTACTTCCATTTCATCCAGTAAAAAGCAGCATCTGTAGAATTTCTACTATTCTTGGACCAATGATTGGGCTTGCAAAAAGTAGTTCTGTCGCAGCAAACCGGTAGCTGCGGAAATCAGGTGCAGCTGGAAATGAAATTGGCGGTAGAGTGCCGTCTGTCTGGCCCGTCAGACGAATCATATTGATTGATTTACGGCACTTGCACACTCGCGGAAAGTTTATAATTGTGGATTTGGATCTGGCGTAAGACTGAAGACTTCTTCCACGTCGGCAACTAGAGTTTTCTACATTAGTTACTTTTCATAAAACTAGTCAAATAGGGTAAAATAGTCATCCAACAAGGATAGAGCCTAATGGAATTATACGCATTCATAAATTTAATAAATGGTGGACGGTGTCCTGCCCAGAAATTAATAATAATCAGGCTAATATTAATAACCGCAACTGATTAAATTAATATCATTAATATGATGCCGTTTATATTGTCGTTTTTGACTTTCTATCTTGAAGAAAGATGCGTTTTTAAAAGGAATACCCACAATTGTACAATAATTTGGTGTAATTACTGGTCCTTCAAATTGGAGGAAGTCTATAATGTCAGGTTTAGCTAGGAGTCTATGGCCTGCCTGGTTGTTCTTGGCCTAGGCTCTGTGAGGGCTGATATTCATTTTGGTTTTTGTTGACAATTTCTGAAATAGTTTTCTATGTAAAAGTACACTCATCTCATAACTTTTTTTACAAATAAATTGATATATGAATGATGTGAGCAACATTTAAAAAAACATTTAAACCAGCTGATTGCATGCTGTCAGGCCTAACACCACCAAACATATAAGAACCCGAGTTACTAAGCGCAATTTTCACAAAAAGAAATGTTTCCATAAATAAGTGAAAGATCTCAAACTTGAAATCATTATTCTAAGTAACTGAAATGACAGGATATATTTTGTAATTATTTTAATAAATAACTATAATGTAACGAATTTTTAGTATCTATCTAACACAAAAATTTTCTGTTTTAATTATTTATTCATTTATTTGAATTGTGTACCTAGGTATATGCCTAGGTATTCATTTACTTTTTTCACAATGCATGTCCTGAGTTCAAAGGAATTTACGTTTTCCAGAAATGTTGCAACAAGGCGAATTATCCTCTTCCATGGAATCCTTATCTTACGATTCGTCTGTCACCTCACCGGCTTCAAGCAATGGCCATCAAAACCAAAGGACGAAAAGGATGAGAACGTCATTCAAACATCATCAGTTAAGAACAATGAAGACCTACTTCGCCATCAATCAGAATCCAGACGCGAAAGACCTCAAACAACTGGCACAAAAGACGGGACTCTCGAAGAGAGTATTACAGGTATAATAATCAATCAATATTTTTATAAAATTACGATAGCAAAACGCATCATCTGCAACGATGCAAAGGATTTGAACTCGAAAGGTCCGAAGAAAGCTAAACGGATGGCGTGGCAACCGACCAGAAACATTTAAAAAAATAATTTATTGCATAAAAAGTTGTTAAATGTACTGCTAAAGTTGGTATCATAAAGACAACTCTATCGCATTGCAGACTATTCCTAGCTTCTGGTTTTTGTTTCATATCAAAACAACTATTTTTTCAGGTGTGGTTCCAAAACGCCCGGGCAAAGTGGCGACGGAACCTGATGCGGCAGGAAGGATCGAACAACAATAACAATGTACAAAGTCAAGGACCAAACGGCCCACCATCGGCAGGATCGGGCATAATGGATGCAAGTTTGTCGCATCAGTCGTTAGACGACCTCCATCACCATTTACATTCCCAAAACTCACAAACGCTAAACTTTGGTGATATTTATTAGGCATTCAATAATATTTTGGTCAGCTGGGGTTTCCGCAACAGAAAAATACGCCTATTTTATTGGTTTATCGTTTATTTAACGTAAAGAATTGACTTTATTGAGCGATTGAGCGTGTTTGAAAAATAATGCGTGCCTACTTTACTTTTATTTTTTTTTTAAATACATTGCAGATGATAGTTTGCACATAAATGCTAAATATTATAATGTTTTAATATCAAGATTTCAACAGTAAATAAATTTATTTATTTAATATTGAAAACTTTACAAATTTACATATACAGGGTGTTTCAGGATTAAGTCGACAAACTTTAAGGAAATATTCCTCATAAAAAATAAGAAAAAAATCAAGTACAATTTTTTTCCAGAGACGCTTCATTTTTTAAATATGCCCTATATTTAAAAAATGAAGCCCCATAACTCCGCCACTGGTTGCTTGCGGGACTTCTACTTCTATGGAAAAATGGCATCTTATAAGATGTGTCACGTCAAATTTGGCTTAAATAGCCTTCTTCATTTAGAAGTTATTTAAAAAATTCGAATTTTTTTAAAAATCTTTAAGGCCCTTCATTTCGAAAATGAAGCGTCTCTGGATAAAAATTTATATTTGATTTTTTTATATTCTTTTATAAGGAATATCTCCTTAATGTTTGTCGACTTAATCCTGAAACACCCTGTATATTTTCCAGAAGCCTGTTTAAAAGCCTGTTCAAAAATTAATATGGAAGCTATATGTATTTATGTTAATTTATATTTGAGTATTGCATTAACTGATTAAGGAATTTATGGTACAAATAATAATAATCATTTAAGTATCTTAACTTTTACAAAAGGCATCAATCTTCAAGGTACAATGTTATTTCAAATATTTAAGAAAAATAGTATGCTGCCGCCAAAACAAAAGGTACCTGATGAAAAAATTTGTCTATAATATGGAAATAAAGTTTTAAATGCATCCCAAAAATTCAGTTTACAAACAAACTAACAATCTGTCGCATAACATTGTCAATATGTTTACCTAACAGTTTTAGAAACGTTGACTTGCTTTATTTTAAGGTGCTTTTAGTAAAATCTTGAACAACTATCTTGCGTTATTTCTCAATAGGCAAAACTGTCTAAAAATCAATGACTTAAATGAGGGTCCCTTTCCAATTAAACAAAAGTGTACTCCTAAATTCTTATCATTGTACTTTTTAACCTCAGTTGACAAATGAAAACGAGATAGCGTTTAGCATACACAAAATGTTCCTTTCTCATAGTGATAATTGGATGAAAATATCTACTGTTTGCATATATAAATGTAATTTATATGTAGATTGCACGTCATAGGGAGAGACTCCTTAGAGATTCTTGTATATAGTTGTGCGATATATGTGCAATGTGTACTACACATAATAGCAATGGTAATTTTTGTAAGGTACAATGTACGAGTTATGTATGTTTCGTGCATATTTATGTAGGTGGAGATCCTATAAAACTTGTTGAGTTGATAATTTATTGTTTTATTTCGTTTTTCTGTGAAACTCGTTTGACAGGAGTGACTGTACCCAATTCGTACTATGTTTTGTATATTTTTTTTGTAGGATCCACTTGTAAATTATTTAATTGTATATATTTGTAAAATACACGATGAAAATAACTCCTGCGGCTTTTATTTCTTATTCATTAAAGGAATTGAATTATTTCGCTCATAAATACCATTTTGTAAATATTTAATGCATACATTGTATCAAAAAATAATGTATTGAGTTGGGGAATATCAGTAACGGCCCTTTTCTTTTCAAATTTAAGATATTTCATTTTTAACTCTAAAATGATTATCACCTCAACGATGACTCTTCATCTTATTTATGACCTCTTTCCAACGTGCAACAAGTTTTTCGATGTCTCTTTTGTAGAAATCCTCCAGTTTTGACTTGAAAAATTCATCCAACCAGGCTCTTAACTCATTTTCATTTTTAAAATAAACACATCGTAAAGAGTCTGACAAAAATCGGAAGAGGTTAAAATCAGATGGCGCGAGATCGGAAGAGTAAGGCCAGTGAATGGCTATTTTGGTCATATTGGCGATATATAGTGCATTACCATGTTGCAAAAGAACGTCGTATCGCCGTTCGGGTCTTTGTTGAATAGCAACATGGAGTCGCCGTAGTTGTTGTACTTAGAGTTCTGCGTTAACGGTTTGATTAGTTGGTAAGAGTTCGTAATAAAGAATCCCTTTCCAATTCCACCAGAAGCATTGTCTTTCGAGGATAAAGTTCTGGTCTTACTCACAGAGTTGCTTGTTTCTTGTGGTTTAACCATTCTTTCTGCTGTTCCAAGTTCACTTACAGACACCATTTTTCATCACCAGTGACAATACGATGAAGAAAACGAATATGACCACGGTTGATCGATGACGACAGAGCGAACCATCGGCAATTGCGGATTCTTATTGTTTTCGTTGAAAACGATTTGGGATCCAAGCCTCAAGTCTTTAAACTTTTCCCATTGAATGCAAATGGTTTAGGTACTACTGTTTTGTGACCACATGCTATCTCCTGAGCTAATTCCCTTGTTGATTGTCTTGGACTTTGTGAAGGAGTCGATTCAGTTGCTCTTCATCAAGGCTTCAGGGTTTCCGGAACCACTCATGTCCTTAAGGTGAAATCACCTTCTTTAACACGTGAAAACTGTCGACAAACCGTTCGTGTATTTACTGCATCATCACCTTATACGACACAAACTTCCAGAGCACACATTCTATTTCAAGTGAATGAAAATTCACCAAAAACCCAATCTGATAGAGCAATAAGTCCTCTCTAGAGCATTTATCAATTTGACAATGCTATTAATTTTCACCTGAATTTTTAAACTTGAAGAAACGGACGTTACTTATTCTCCTACCATCAGAAAATTTAGTGGGAAGGAAAAACTCTACCACTACAATAAGAGAACAAAAGTAGTATGGATACCATCTCTAAAATGGTTGAGTTTGTTGATGTGAAACAAGAGTAATTTCCAAGTCCATAGGTAAGTAATTAATGGATTCAGAAACTAAAATTTAGATAATGTATGTATCGATTACTGAAGCAATAAACTTAAATATTTCTTAAAGTGACGTTAAATATAATAAATATTACGACCATTGCTGTTTGTATTTTGTGTCATATAAAATGTCAAATCTAATAACGTTTATATCAAATGTCAGTTTGTTGACAGAAGATACAAAAATATATACTTTACGGAATCATGGCGGAAAAGGTTGAAACATTCTTGATAACAGTATCCATTCTTGAAGGGAGACATTACATTTGGACAAATATGGATTCTGCAGTAATAGTTAACGTCGACAATAAAAGGAGGTGCACTTCGGTTAAACGTCATACAGATGCCCCTATCTACAACGAGGTAGTACTGTATGTTTTAGCTATAAGTTTCTGAAGGATTATTGATGTTTCAGTATTTCGTATTTGAATTTTCAACTACACTGGAAAGTATGCTTGAGAAAACTATAACAATTACGGTGGGGATGTACATACATATACATTACGATTTTTTAGTGAGAATATTTCATAGGTTATACAGCCCGGGAATGCTTGCAGAAATAGGAAAATACTTGGAAATTTTACGTTGGACGTTGCCACTTTGTGGTCACAAAAAAGTAAATATCTATTTGTTTCAATCAATGCATTATTTATCTTGATATTCAAAGAGTAGGTTAATTTTAATTTTAAGAAATTTTGAATTAAATTCATTTTTAGAAATTAACTTAATTGTTTTAGTCCTAATACAACTTGCATAACTTCATTGTTATTGTAGTCTTAGTATATCTCCAATAATTAATTTACATATCGCAATTATTTAATTATCTACTTTTTTATTTATTTGCTCCAGATCACCAATTTTATCATAAATGGGCTGTCCTAGCAAAAAATGATAGTTTCACAGGACCAAGCGGATACCTTAAAATTGATATATCCTTGCTATTCAAGGGACAAGTTTCAGAACTTCCCGCTGATATAATAAATGATGAAATAGAAGGGTAAGTTATGTGATTTGGAGTTCATAGAAATCAGTTTTTGCTCCTTCTTCACCCCTTTAAATTTTTGACATAAGTTCACTAACACCTTGTATGTAACGTAGGAAATTAATCATTTTCGCAAAATATTAAATAAAAATATGCTTCATAATATAAATTTACTATATATTTTTGAAAAGAGTATTAAGCACATACCCAATAGCAGTAAATATTTTTCTCATCAGTAACTGTCTGAAATAAAATGTTCCAGTAACTTGCTTCTACCTGAAGGTTTGTATCACGAAAGACAAAAGGTATTTTACTTATTCGACGTATACAAATGCGAGAATTTAGTGGCAAGGCCCAATGTTTCAGTAAAAGACAACAAAACTTCAAGAAAGACCCCAAACATTTACGTAGAAGTAACTTTTGCTGGGCAAAAGGTAAGAAAATTAAACAATTACCTATTATTTGTTCCAAATTTTCTTTGTGCTAACATTTTAGGTAAGAACATCTGTGAAGAAAAATACTCATTCCCCTGTATTTAATGAGCAACTAACAATAGTGGATCTATTTCCCCCTCTTTGCCAAAGGATCAAAATCGAAATCTGCCATTCGGAAAGTTGCAGGAAAACTGTAAACGCAACAAGATATTTAGATCTAAAACTTATATCGAATGACAAAGAAGAAGGTTTTCTGCCAACATTTGGACCAACTTATTTGCATATGTACTTCAATAATAATTTGGGCGGATTCGCTGGAGAAATTTTAGTGTCTATGAACACTGAGTTGCAAGATATTGTACCAACAGACGCAAAAACGACTGGCACTCTAGTTAAGAGCATTCCTCCTATAAGCGAGGTGTGCAAACGTTAAGGGTTGTATATAAAGAAAAGCCACGAAATAATAGGAACTGTTTATTAAATTTAAGCACGCTTACAGAAATTGTTTTCCTTCTCACAAACTTGGGATGTCCTTTACGAAAAAGTCCCCTGGTAGGGTTCTAATTTTTATCACCATTCTCATAATGTATGTCTAGTCTTAAAAATTTCCCACAAATTGTAGACGGGTCATGACTACATCATTATTATCCAGAAAAAAGAAAACAATCATTAGAATGTAAGCTATCATCTTCTCAGATGCAGTACCATAGTTTTGCAGATGATAATGAATTAACTGAGCTGGTCCAACGTTAATTAAAAGTAACACCAAAACTCTTTTTTTCCTAAAGAGCATCCACTGTAACACTCTTATTACACAGTTCCTGTTATTTAATGACTCCGTCATCCGCAGCAAACAAACTTCATCCATTAGATCCCTGATTTACAGTCTTTAAACTTCTTTAGGTTTGTAATCATCACTTTCTTCTACAGGAAAACCATTTCGATGATGTAGTATTATTTGCGACGATATTTGGAATTACGGCGATATCCAAAACGTGCTGTCAAAAAGTAGTTTCGTTCCGGATGACCTTCGGTAGTACACTAATCCAGAAGGGCGCCTCGGGAGAAAGTACTTTGATGAACTCCACCTCGACATTCAAGCCAAAGAAAATCAGCAAACAGTATTATTATCTGCCTGTAGAAAATGAAAAACCTTGTCTTGTCATTACGACAAAACTGCCATCTTGCAAGAAAAGAATGTACAACTCGAATATGTTGTCTAAAATGTCAAAAGAACTTGTATGTTGATTCATTATGTTCAGTGTATGTTTAGTATACATTTCTCTTGCAGAAAATCAAACTAAGCTTAATTGAACATGAGTTTGAAAGCCGGGATTTCAGATTGTCACAAACGGATGTATATGATATTTTGACGGAAACTCTTGATTTTATAAGAACATCCGGAAGGAAATATATTGATATTGTAGATGGATACAATTTTGAGAGGGGTACAAAGTTGGACAAAGAGAGAAAGAAGATGTGCTTAAAAGAAATGGTAATGGTTAAGACAAGTTTATCTTACTATTTTCGGAAATCTACGAAACACTACCAATAAGGTTCCAATTTACAGAATTTTGAAGTTCTTTAAATATTGCATGATTTTTATTTATATTAACATTCTTTACTTTAGGAAAATATATTAGAAAAAGTAGACCGAATCTGTAAGGACAGAACTCAAGTACAAACTTTAGGTAAACTTCAAAAATTGTGTAGTAGGATGGAAGAGTTAATATTTGATGTAAGTATCTATTTCAGTTTGGGAGCAGATATTTTAAAAAATTATTAGCATTCGAAACAGTTCTGTATCATTTTTTTATAAATTCACAAGAAACTTTTCTTGACTTTGGTAAGATACATAAAATTCAGTACTAAGTGTAGTTAATGTTCTCGATAAGAATTTAACTAAATAACGAGCGTTCAAATAAAAACGTGGTCGAAGTTGGCTCTGACACATTGGACGTAGGGCGTAGCTTATAGCGACCAACTTAACCACATTTCTCAACGAGCTGTATAGCAGCTTTCAGTTTCAATAACAAAGCGGCGATACAGCGCTTTGACAGATGACGTTTAAGTTCATTTGCTATACGCTACGCCCTACGTCTAAATTTTCAGAATCAACTTGACCACGTTTTTATTTGAACGCTCGTTATTATCAAACAATTGACTTTATAACCTTATAACCTCTTTCTTTATTAGATACAAGACTGTTGGCCTGATGTTCATTTGTGGATGATATTTGGAGCTAGAAAAGCTGCTTATTGTCGAATACCAGCTAGAGATATACTTTTTTCGCCAATCGACGAAGAGAAAGGAGAATATTGTGGCAAAATGAGGACAATTCTTTTCTATGTATGTGGATCAACTTTTACGATTGTAATTTATTTCTCTGGTGTCGATTAAAGTACTGAAAATTTGGATGCGTCTTGTGACATACATTTGGTCATCGAAAACATCTTTCATTGTTTCAGCCGAATCCAAAAGACGACGTTAATTTGTCTTGTAAAATGGATATGATGTTATGGCTTGGAGTGGACAGACATAAAGATGATTGCTTTGCTAGTATTCCCGAAGGTTACCAGTATGAAAAAGAATCAGTTCTTACTTCCAGAAAATTATATGCAGAGGAGAAATATGTATGAAATTATTTGGAAACACTGAATCCTGGTTTCCCATGCACGCAATTGTCTGTTTTCAGGTATTTTACCTTAGAGCCCACATATTTCAAGGCAAAATAGCACCAGGTTTTGACAGAAGCGGGCTAACTGATACGTATCTTAGAGTAGTTATACGAGACAAGCAAGCAGAAACAAAGGTACAAGGAAGTATCTTTGGTTGAACAATTTTTGAGATGGTCGTCCATTTAGACTTATTTACTTCTTCCTCAGAAGAAACTCTTAAAAACAGTGACTATGTTCTCACAGCAGTATTTATATTTGCAGTGTACAGTCTGCACTCCGGTACAGGGAGAGGAGTCACTGGCCTATGACGTGCCTATCCCTAAGTTCTGGGGATGTATCGTTTCCAAACTCTTCGTACTTCTAAGTCCTCGTCTAGGATGAAATTGTCTTAGTTTCTCTGGATTTTTATTTCTTAGGTCAGCCAAAATTCTTCTCCCTCCCTCTCTTTTACTAAATTCTCTCCTGTGGTTCACAATTTATTGTTTCTAGAACTTTGGAGTACATTGTGCTTGTAGGCCTTGGCAAATGTTGCTTCTATCTTCCTCGAGATATCGTATTACCATTATATTTTCTTAAAATATAACCTATTTTTTTGTACAGATATTCCTCCTATTTCTTGTTACAAATTCATATAATGGTTTAGTGTATCTATTTTCTATGACAACTGACGACAAGTGATGTAGTTCCTCGACAAAGTATGCTAGCTAGCAAATAGTGCATGCTCCGTGCACTAGTGCACTGACGATACCTTGTTTCTACACTTGATGGTGATGATTTAGCCTTGCGAATGGTATACCGAGAGTGATATCCAATTTCCTCTTGACAAATATATTTAGGAATAGAAGGATACCGATTTCTTCCAACCACATGATGAATGTATCATCAACGTACCTGAACCAATTCTTTGCCTTAAGAGTTGTTGATTCGAGAGCCTTCTTCTAGAAGACTTCTGTACATATATTTGTGAACGCTGCGGATATGGTTGAACCAATACTTCTTCAGTTTATTCATAAAGAGAAAAAGAATCATATGTTACACTTTTGCCATGTGTACAAATTCTCACAGTTGTCTCTATACGATGAAGTTATTCTAAATTCTACAGAGAAACAATCAAAATCCGGTAAAATCGAAATAATTTCAATCGAAACGGAGGCTTGGGAGTACCTAGAATTTAGAAATAATTTATCCGTGAAAATCGAGGACCAATGACTTCGGGCAGGTGAAGTACACATAGTAAGTATATGCAGATCGTCCAAAGAACTTAGTTTCTAGTTTCTAGAGAATTTCTTCTGTAGAAGAGAGCGATTTGTCTTTCGAAACATCAAAATTTCCAAAGCAGCAAATGATCTAGAAATTGTTCATCCATTGGCATCACGGAGGTCTGCAAATCAGACTGAATTCAATTTTACTTATTTCCTTGCCTTCCAGGTAATAAATGCTGCTCTAAATCCCTTATGGGATCAAACCCTTGTTCTTCCAGGAATAATTTTGTATGGATCTAAACCATATTTAAAAAGCAATATACCGAACGTTTTGGTGGAAGTCTGGGATAGGGATATATTTGTAATAAAGACAACAACATTTAGAAGTGATGTGCGTTCAATTCAATTCATTTCAGAAAACAGACGACTCCGTTGGTAGGACTTTGGTAACACCCGTTATTAAATTCCGAGAAGACCCTTACCTACCTCCAGACTTTCCGCCAAAATTGTCTTGGATCAAGACATACCAAGGCGCTGACATATTCGGAGAAGTACTGTCAGCGTTTGAATATATAGAGGTTGGGATTTCTTTACCGACATAAAATACATATTCTAAATCGTTTTATGTTTCTGTTAGGTTCCTGAGCCGGGAGATGATTTCCAGATGCCTCCCGAGGCAAAAATATATCGCGTTCCAGACGAGATCAACCCTCGAATGGTACCGCACAGGGTGGAAGTCCTCTTTTGGGGCCTGAGAGATTTAAGAAAAATATACCTCAAGCAAATAAATAGGCCAAGGGTATCTGTGATATGCGAACAAGGAACACTGGTTTCCGACACTATAGAGAATGCCAAAAAAAATTCCAACTTTCTAAACAAATGTAAAACTATGACCGTGGTAAATTTTCAAAGCCATGCCTGAGGATTACATCAGTAAATATTTTATTTGCTTCAAGGCATTGCCCCTGGAAAAGGTGTACACACCGCCTCTTTGCATAAAGATTCAGGAAAGCAGGCTGTTTGGAGTATACTTGCATGCAGGTGTACACATTTCGGATGCGTATTCGTACCTGTACAACCCGATCACTAGTCAAGAACGAAAAAGGCGATTGTCTGCTTATAATTTAAAGAAACGTGTATCAAGTATGTATTTTTTTCTCTTGCTATTTTTTATCTCTTTCAAGCTTAACGATTTGTTTCGTATACCCAAAAAAAAATACTTCGAGTAGTTAATTTTTTTAGGTCCTATTAATGTTTTGCCATCGAACAACGTTAAATTCGAAGATGAGGCTCAACTCTCGGACAAACCAGAAGCCTGTAGCGTTCTTTGGATGAAAAGTTATTTAAAAAATTTGTTTAACTTATGCAAATTTTCAACATGTCGCTCCTACAGGCAAAGGAGTATGACTTCCTTGGGGACTTACGAAACGCTTCCACAGGATGAACCGGAACCTGAAGAGTTTGACTGGTGGACGAAATTTTATGCATCTTTAGATAAGTCACAAGTAAATAGCTTCATATGCAGGGTGTTGGAAGTTTGACTGCCTTAATTTTAACAGACGATAGAACACATTAAAATAAACAAAAAAACTTCATACGGCATGGGTCCTAAACTCAACCAGCTATCCAGCAAAACGTAATTCAGTTGGTATCTGGAACTAGAGCGTGTCTGAGTGTTTTTTGCGTACCACTATTTCCTTTTCTTGAGATGTCTTCCAACGAGTACACGAAAATTGGATTCGAAGGTGTCGTGCGTGCATTGAAAATGGTGGTCGACATTTTGAGCATATGCTGTAGTGTGTTTTGTATTTGTGCGTTTAAAAATTACTGAATTTTGCTTTTTGGTAAGTACCTAAATTATTTTTAATACGTATGATTATTTGGACGACGTCAATCTTTGGGTACTTTAATTACATATTTTTCAAATTCATTGATTAAAAGTTAAGTTACTGTTTTAAGAGATTCACAATTACTAAAATTCGAGCTAAAATTGTCATGAAATTTACTAAATATTTCACAATAATAGTTGTTTATATTTTTATTATTCCAGGACAAGTCTGTCGCGTGCACACGTGGTTTGCATCAGCTGTGTAGCATTAAGTTAAGCGCTGTTGTCACATTGTGATAAAACTCCCCAATAGTAATACTCCCTGTATTTTGAAAACTGTTAATCTTACACCCCTGTAATATACAGCTTTTTTGTTCATTTATGATGACCTATCATGACTTATGATAGGTGATATGATACATGATATGATATGATCATGACTTATCATGATTTATGACCTATCTCATGCTGAAGTAATGGCGCCCAAACTTCTTACACCCTGTAGAAGGCGTGTATCTATGTTGTTTTAAAGATAGAGAAGAATGACAAAAATTTTGGGGAACAAACATGCTTGATTAAGAAAATAGCAATGACTGTTAGATATCAATGTACTTTGAATCAGATCAAATGAAATATTGTCATATTCACGATGGTCAACAATACCTTATTTAAATTTATTCTTTTCATCTTCTATGCAATCAGGTTTCCTTTGGGGCACACTGTATATTTACAATTTATATTTACTTTTGATTTTAGGAAAAAACGTTACCAGACAACGACGACAATCAAGGGATACAAAAACATACCTTAAAGGTACACATGAAACTTTTTTTAAATTAATTTTATGATATATGTTGCTTGATATATTATACGTTTATTATGTATTATACAGGGTGTCTCATAATTAGCTGCCAACCCTGAACAGGCCGATTCTATGATCAAAACTAAGTAAAAAAGTTCATATGAACATGGGTCCGGAAATGCTTCCTAAGGGCACAGGGACCCATTGAAGAGGGAGGAATGGAAATCATTTTTTTGCAATATCTCTCAATCGCGTTGTGATAAATGAATGAAATTTGGTATACACAGCTAAATTTTGATGAGCAATTTGATGGACTAATCCATTTATTTCCACAAGGTCCATTGGGGTGGGTACGGGGGGGCCCTTGGTACTTTGCGTGTGTAACTTTTTCATCTTTGACTTTTTAACAAATTGGACAGCAAATTCCGTTTTCCCGAACTGTTTTACGTTAAAAAGGTACTCTTGTTTCAAATCGTTATCTTTAACGGTTTCTGAGAAAATCGCTCTTGAATTAATCCCACTTTGGTCAATTTCATAGTAATTTAAACAAAATTATCAAGGTATTCTTATGTCAAAGTATTGTCAACCCGATTGCCAATTTAATAGTTCTAAGCGAAAAAAATGGAAGAGTTTACGGGACAAGAGTTAGTTGATATGATATTTATTTATGGCTTTTGCGATGGTAATGCTGCAGCGGCAGAACGCGAGTACGGGAGAAGGTTTCCAAACCGAAGGCTGCCATCAAGGAGGACATTCCCTACGGTATTCCGCAACTTAGCTGCAACCGCCACTTTTCGAAAGGCACCGGGTCAAGGACGTCCCAGGATTAATAGGGAAGCGGAGGTCCTTGACGCTATTGAACAAGATCCTACGACTAGCATACGGAACATTTCAAGGCAAATAAATGTTCCTCGGCCAACGGTACTACATATCTTAAAGATTTCCTTAACAGAATTGATTAGATGTGCTACTAACATTTCAGGTTGGAAGAATATTAAAGCGACAAGGTCTACATGCCTATCACTATCGACGTGTACATGGCTTGATACCAGAAGATTTTGCGCCACGTATGCAATTTTGTCGCTGGATTTTGTCGCTGGACAACGAGCAAGCTTCCAAAATTTTGTGGTGTGACGAAGCTACTTTTACCCGAAATGGAAAATTAAATTTTCATAATTCTCATTATTGGGAAGAAGAGAACCCACATGTTGTTCGGAGAACAAACTTCCAGCAACGGTTTTCCATAAATTTATGGGCGGGAATAATTCACGACACTCTGATTGGACCTATTGAAATTCCACAACGTCTCAATTCAAATCTTTATTTAAACTTACTTCAAGAAAATCTTCCCCAAATTCTCGATGATCTGCCTCTAAATTTACGACGTAACATGTTTTTTCAACACGATGGAGCCCCGGCACATAGTGGTCGCAATGTTCTAAATTTCCTAAACGAAAATTTCGCTGGACGGTGGATAGGGAGGCACGGACCGGTAGCTTGGCCGCCGCGTTCTCCCGACCTAACCCCGCTGGACTTCTTTTTCTGGGGATATCTAAATCAAAAAGTTTACGCCACCGAAGTCGATACCCGTGAGGAATTGCTGCAGCGTATCAATGATGCAGCCAATGAAATTCGTCAAAACCGTTTTAGCATCTTAATAGCTTCGAGAAGTGTTACACGTAGGGCAAGACTTTGTATCAGAGAAGGTGGAGGGTTTTTTGAACAGTTTTTAAAATAGCTTGTTGTCTGTTATCAAAATTAAGTTTCCATCTTATGATCCCTTCGAAAAGTGACGGTTGCAGCTAAATTGCGGAATACAGTGAGGAATGTCCTCCTTGATGTCAGCCTTCTGTTTGGAAACCTTCTGCCGTACTCGCGTTCTGCCGCGCAGCATTACCATCGCAAAAGCCATAAACAAATCATCATATCATAATTGTTCTACATCAATAATGTGTATTACTGATTACGTATTAAATTATTATTATTATTTTTTGTTTAAATTACTATGAAATTGACCAAAGTGGGATTAATTCAAGAGCGATTTTCTCAGAAACCGTTAAAGATAACGATTTGAAACAAGAGTACCTTTTTAACGTAAAACAGTTCGGGAAAACGGAATTTGCTGTCCAATTTGTTAAAAAGTCAAAGATGAAAAAGTTACACACGCAAAGTACCAAGGGCCCCCCCGTACCCACCCCAATGGACCTTGTGGAAATAAATGGATTAGTCCATCAAATTGCTCATCAAAATTTAGCTGTGTATACCAAATTTCATTCATTTATCACAACGCGATTGAGAGATATTGCAAAAAAATGATTTCCATTCCTCCCTCTTCAATGGGTCTCTGTGCCCTTAGGAAGCATTTCCGGACCCATGTTCATATGAACTTTTTTACTTAGTTTTGATCATAGAATCGGCCTGTTCAGGGTTGGCAGCCTAATTATGAGACACCCTGTATAGCATAAGGGAAGCTTGACGGAACGTGTAACATTAATTTTTGTTTAAATTAAAGTTCATAGGTAAATCTCCGTTAGGCCAAAAAAAAATTAAAGTGATTTTTGTTTAACGCAGCCTACATAGAAGAGCGCAGCCTCATATCTGACTAGTGTAACACCTGAACGTTCTTTTCCCTAAAAATGAAAATTGACCTAAAATTAACAACAATTCTTCTACTTAATTAGGTATTTGTCAGACTCTTTACTTCTTTAAACAGTATGATATTATTTCTAGATATATTTAAATGAATTGGAATTACAGCCTGAATTTAGCGGATTCACGGATATGCTCTCTTCCTTTGAAATGTACAAAGGGAAGCGAACAGGGGATGAGTCGATTGACGAAGAAAATATAAAAGCGGTCTTCAAAGGTTCCATAAAAATTTACCGCTGGCCGCAAGAGGTGGAAGGTGATTATGTAACAGATAGAGGTTTACCTCTTCAAGATGGGATGTTCCAGAATTATCCTGATAACTTTCCAGTGAGGTTTTTACTGCGTGTCTACTGCATTCGAGGAATTGGCTTGAGGCCAAAGGACCGCAGTGGTAAATCGGATCCCTACTTGTATTTAACACTCAATGGTAAAGTTATCAATGATCGCGAACACTACATACCACGTCAGATTAATCCAATTTTTGGAAGGTAAATATGTGTATTTATAAATTGAACAAATATAGAGTTAAATATTTTGTGATCTTTTACCGCTTAAATGATAAAAGTTTATTTATTTAAGTTTATCAAATTAAAATTGGGTACCTATTAAATGAATAAATTTAAAAAGCATGTAATTCATTGTCAGTAATAAATTACAATCCTGTCAAACAGATTCATATCAATCCTTTTTTAACATGACAATTTAAAAGTACATACCAAAATGTTAAATTATCGTAAGGAAATTCTACCTATAAAATTGTTGTGGGTGTAATTTTTTGGTGCGGTATGTTAAGGGGAACATAAATTATTAAAAGTCTTTAATGTTTCTATTGTCTTATTGCAGATTATTTGAGTTTAATGGAAATTTTCCAAATGATCACACACTTAACATATCTGTTTGGGATTACGATTGGGGGAATTATGACGACTTGATAGGTGAAACAGAAGTAGATATAGAGAACAGGTTCTATACGAAGCACAGAGCCTTTTGTGGAATACATGACCATTATGACCAGTAAGTAAATCACAGAGTTGTTAGTTATGTCCATACAGTTACACAAGAGGTGGAAATGGCATTTATAGTTTAAGGGATGTATACCAGATATCAACATAATTATGTACCAAGCTACATAATTTTCAGCAAAATTTGCAATTTGTGAAATCATATGTTAGTAGAGATTAAAAAATCATATGTTTCCCCGTCATGTGGAACAAAGATACGCCAAGGTTTCGACTACTTGGTAAAACCTCACGTATTACCTCTTTTGCCTCATCCTCAGTGTGGAACTTACGTCACTCAGTGTCCAAAGGCACGAAATCCGCGAATTACAATTACAAAATGTTATAGATAGGTATTTCATATCGCAAACACAGTCCAGAACCATGAAAACAGCAACATTTTGATTTAATTGAAGTTGCAATTGGTTACCGTGATTACCAGTCAGATCACACTATGACTGGTTACAACTTTCAAACGAATGAGGATAGCATTAAGATTACCTTTTGCACTACAGGCCTAGCAGATCTTGGCTTTAAGTTCTTGCACCTATTTTACCACTTTCTTCTATCCTTTGGATCTTGTACCAGTCCTTAGTTCCCACTTACCTTTTCTCAAACCAACTTTTTCTAAATTGTTCTATTCTTCTCCTTTCATTAAGGTTTTTTACCTGATTTGTCATCAGACATCCTAACGCTGCATCCTAATTATATCTTCACTATTTTGACTACACTTATATTTCTTTATTTGCCTTCTTGAAGGAAGCAATATTGATTAGCAGTTTAAAAATTATAATGAACACACAATATCCACAATATACTTAGCATTGTATGTAGTACTCTCTCCATCTACATTTTATATTAGGTAGAGAACACTTTTGCAACTTATTGATTACACGGTTCTAGAAAAGTAACATGCAATGCATGAATTGAGATGATTTGGTCCAGATTACGTCTTGACCACTAATATTAAAGCAAATATGTTGTATAATCCGTAGGTTATTATAATTTAGTGACCTTATCTAAAACGTATTAGTAACGTCATCTTATTTCCCTCTTACCTTAATTTGATGTAAATTTGAAGTCCTTTAGGTTTAGCCAAAGGTAAAAGTAATACCAAATAAAATGTAATTCTAACATGGAGTGATACTAGTTGTCCTTCTTCCCTGAGAAGATAATCATCATTTATTTGATTTATTTCGTAGACTACTTGGTGAGCTAATAGTACCAATCTATTTTTGTTTACACAATGAATAAACACAATATATTTCTTTTGTATACACCTAATATAAAAGAAAATTTTACACTTAACTCTCTTCTTTGACTGTGACATCTGTTGTGCAGATCCGGTTACTGTGCTTGGAGAGGGCGTCAGAAACCAACAGCTATTTTACTAGAATTGTGCAGAACATGGGGCCTGGAGGGACCCAACTATGAAAAGGACTCTGTGAGGATAGGAGCGAGAGAGTTCATTACAGAAGACTTTACGCGTAAGTTCAATTGGGAGTTCTACATTGCCGATTTTGAGTTTATTGATTTGCAGCCAGTAGAAACCCAGAGTTTGACAAAGAGGTTCTGGCGCTCACCGCTTTGTGGCGCTGGGACGAGATTCCGACGGTAGGGTTTCCTTTAGTGCCGGAACACGTCGAATCTAGGTCTCTGTACAATCCCTCGAAACCAGGTATTGAACAGGTATAATTAACTTTAAGATGATAGAAAGCTGGAAGATTAGTTTTAGAAGAATTGTATTTTGTTTCTGAATTTCTTTTTAACTTAAAAATCGACAAACATATTTGTCAAAAACAATATATGTTTGTTATGTTATATAATTAGTATTTAATGCCAAAAGAGCATCTTCACTAAAACTTGATAAGCAAATACCTGTATTGGAAAGATATACATTGACGTGTAAATAGATATATTTTTTCGAGAAACAAAATAATTATTTTGATATGTCATAGTAATTAAGGGATATAGGGTGCTATCTGGTTAATAATACGCTGATATCGACAGTTGTCTATGGCCAAGAGACATATGTTAACGTCCTCATCCAATTCATTTATTTCTATGGTAATGCGTTTTTAATTTGCTCCAGGCATTATGGACATTTGTAACATCGTTGGGCGTATTTTCTCATTTAATGTATCTCAAAGTAAGACTATTACTATAAATTAACAGACTTAATATCACTTAATGTATCACAAAATATTACAATGTAGTAGGAGGATATTAATTTACATTACTGGTAACTAATTTTTTTTAAAAGAAAATAACGTTGCACAAGTAAACCATACAGTGTGTCCCGAAATTCATATAACAAAATTTGGTCGCAGATTCTTAAGACAAATTTAGGGGACCCGTATTTTTTATTTTTGCCAAGTGACCCCCTCTTTCGGAGTTACAGCCCCCTAAGAATAATTTTTTTTTTATATCTCAGAAACCTGTTGTACGAGAATCACTAAATATGGTACACAGGGGTTTTACGACATGTGGAATCTGATGGTGCTACGTTTTTTGGCGGGGAACCTCCTTAAGCCAATTTTTCGTGGGCCCCTTTGTCTTTGGAGCCAAAAAAATTTGGTCGCATATTTAAATTTCTTAAAAATTATCAGTCCACTAGAAAGTCATTAAATTTAGAAAATTTTTGTCACTTTATACTTTTTCCGTAAAACGCAATGTTTTCGAGAAATATGTCAAAATGTGATAGAATGCATGATTCGCCATTTGCCTCAAAAACATTGCGTTTTTCGAAACAAATATCAAGCGACAAAAAAGTTTCTAAATTCAATGGCTCTCTAGCTATCTAACAATTTCTTAAAAAATCAAATTTGCAACCAAATTTTTCTGGTTCCAAAGACAAGAGGGCCCACGAAGAAGTGTCTTAAGGGGGTTTCTCGCCAGAAAGCGTAGTAATGTGAGATTCCATATGTCATAAAACCCCTGCGTACCAAATTTAGTGATTCTCATACAACATGGTTTTGAGAATTAAAAAAGACTTCTTAGGGGTAGATTTCAAGGGGCTGTAACTCCGAAAGAGTTGGAAAAAAGAAAAGATACAGGTCCCCTAAATTTGTCTTAAGAATCTATGACAGAATTTTGTTGCATGAATTTCGGGACACCCTGTATAAATGTACTAATTTAAACCAGTCACTCTTACACTTAGAATCATAACCTCAAGTAATTAGAACTTATTTCAGTTACAACTAAACAGTCAGCAATATCATTCCTCATAATTTGGATGGTGAATATTTTTTATTATTTTTATCTTTATCCATATTATCGCTTTGCTTTAACACAGCATAAAAATAACTAGAAGCATTCGCACAAATCTGTACAATGGTTGCATAAAACTGCTAGTTATAAACCGAGATATTTTGCCCTAATACAGATACCCTTCCAAATATGGATACCTTAATATATTCAAATTGCCAAAATGTTATTAAATACATTATTTTAATGAAGTTGAAAGCGAAAGAAAATTTTGATTTTGACCTTATTAAAAATATGGTACGCACTAGTCTAATAGGTGTAATTATGGAAATTTAAGATCAAGCTTAAATGCTTGATATCCTATAACTTTCTTCAGGGTCTTTTTTGGGACGCCCTGTATACTTCATAATAATTTTTACTGTGAGTTCTCAAATTTGGTTAACTTACTTTAACAAAATTTGATTGCATCTGAACTTTATTTTGATTTTAAACAATCCGATGGATTCATATTTTAGGGTAAGCTACAACTGTGGATAGACATCTTTCCAATTACTGATTTACCACCACCTATAAGTGTTGTGATAACCCCAAGAAAACCTGTTAAATATGAACTGAGGGTAATTATATGGAATGTGGAAGAAGTTGAATTGACTGAGGATTTGTTTTTTTCTGGAGAGAAGAAGTCGGATATTTATATAAAGGGGTACGTTTCATAAATTTCAATAATATTCTCTATAAGAAAAGAAACATGGTGTCCTCAAGCTTTTGTTGCTAATAATTTTTATTTATTCATTCGTTCATTTATAAAAGAGGCCAACAGAGTGGAAATAGACAATATATTGTAAAGTTCATGCAGGACCAATCGTTTACATACGTAAGAGTTTGAATTATATTTTATCGCATTTATTCAAGTTGTTCGCTAGTGATAAATAGCTCCCTAACATGCCCGAAAATTTCAAGAAAAGCTTAGATAATTTAATTTTTATTAAGATATTTTTTGATATGTGATAGAATTTAGAACTGGTAAACGACCTTTTCAATGCTGCTGCCCGTTTTAAAAAATGCGACCACTGTAAAAGTTTTGACCTCTAAAAGGGAGAGGTAACCGGAGAAAACTCACCCAGCATATCGATTTGACTAAAGCTTTAAGAAATAATACGTTATAATAGTCCAAATAAATGTGCCAAATTTTAACACGATCGGCAAAAGGGTTATGAAGTTATTAATTAAAATTAAAAAATTAAAGTTTTATTTTTGACAACTTTGAAGGCTTGTGAATCAAAAACCAAATAGTTTTTAATTAACTTTTTTTCGTAGCTCGTTTTTATTTATTGTCCTGAATATGCAGTTAAACGTTGTCGGTTAAATATGCGTACACCCTGTATATCATTCCTTGATCAAGAACAGAGTTATTACAAAAACTATCCAATTTACTACTATTTATTAGTGCTGGCAACTGAAATCGGTTTTTTGGATAGTCGGTTAACCGGTTTCGGATAATTCGGATTTTTACGAAATCCGAAAACCGGTTATTCGGTTTATCTCCGATTATTCAAATAACCGATTATTCGATAATCTACTTTTTTTATCCGATTGCAATTGACCTTTTTTTTTTTTGGAGATCGATTTCTTCGTAAACAAATTTGACTTCCAAATTTTTGTAAAGACCTTTTTTTAGACATCTATTTCTCCGGGTCTGTCTTTGTAAAGCACCGATTTTCTGATATAAGTAACGGGTTATTCGAATAACCGGTTTTAGCAACTATTCGACTAACCGGTTTTATCTGAAATCGATTTTTACGGAACTCGGTTAACCGGTTTCACTTTTTTCCGGTTTTTGCTAGCACTACTATTTATATTGCATTCTGCAACTAATAACAATAAATAACATTTAAAAATTAGTTAAAATGAGACTTAAAAATTGCTTGGATTTGTTGAAGGCTTTTAGAACATCAGACTACATTCAGTTGCTAAATTAAAAAATAGGAGTCACCAAATGACTAAATAAATATTAACTCCTAAGTAAATTTGTTCTTTTATTTAAGGTGGGTGACCGATAGCAATGAGCCTCAGTATACGGATGTTCATTATAAATCACTGACTGGCGAGGGAAATTTTAACTGGAGATTCGTTTTCCCTTTAGAATATTTGACAACTGAAAATAAACTCGTAATCCGAAAGAAGGAATCAATGTTCAGTTCTGAGGAGACGGAGTTTAAAATTCCATGCATGTTGACATTGCAAGTCTGGGACAATGATACGTTTTCCAGGGATGATTTTTTGGGTAAAATAACTTTTGACGTTACATTTTCTACTTCGTTTATCTCACATTGCATGGATTTTACTGTTATGAGAAGAAACAGAATTATACAACAGGGTAATTAGCTGTTTTATAATAGAATTGCGAAACATTTCGCAACATATCTTTTTATATGGTTACGGCAATACTTAACATCTTACTATGAAACTCAAAAGTGTATTCAATTGAGAAAGTAGATAATATGTTTAGTAGAGTAGATATCTTTCGTTTGATTTGACACTTTTAGTGACAATCAGAACTTATTTTTTATTTTTAACAATCCGTTTAAGCAAATAAAATGCCAACAGAACTTGCCAACGCATATTCTAGGAAAACAGTTGTTCAGAAAATCACACAACATATAAAGTGCTAATACCATGGTGCCATCTGGTTATGCTGTAGATTTATGTTATTATCTGCTCATAAAATAAAATCTGTATATTTAATTAGGATCAAGATAAAATAGTATTTATATTTTCCCACCTAATTACATATTTTAATTTCAAGGGACTTTGAGTCTGGAATTATCAAAGATGCCCAGAGGAGCTAGACTACCCAATAAGTGCACTTTGTCTATATTGGAGCCACAAGCACCAAGGATTAACTTGTTTAAAGTCCGACGCACAAAGGGATGGTGGCCCTTTAAGCGGTACGATGAGGCCCTAGGAAAATTTACCCTTCAGGTAATATAAAGTAACTGTAAAATAATATACATAATTATAGCATTTTCAAACCCCAATAGACCTAGAGTTATCATAGAAAAGTAACCTACATTCCTCAAAGGAAAAAGAGGGATAGTCTGGATAATTTAGTTTTAACCAATAGTTAGATTACCATAAAAGTTCATTGGTGCAGCGGTAGACAAAAAGTGTAGCGTCTTAAAACGTTTAAAATGTCTAACAGGTTCAGGTTGCAAACATTTTATCTGCAGCTGTACATTTTGCTGCAAAATATAATGAGTTCGATAAGTTAGTTTTCCTTGGTCCCAACAGAAAAACGAGATTTTTTTCCAATTTTTACCCAAGGATTTTACTCTGATAAATCTTGTTACAGATAAATTTCATATATCTCAACAGATTCTAAAAAAGAACACTGTATTTTCTTTAATTTTTTCCCTTAAAACATATCGTCAAATTTGATATACAGGGTGATTCACAACTTACCCAAAAAAATTTGAGAATAGATGTGCATGAGAAATGGAGCCAATGTCGTAAAAAAATGTAAAATCCTTATAGTTTCCGAGAAGAAAATTATTGAAGTTGTAGTACTTTCAACCATTACATAGCTGGACAACTGTAGTCTTTAGAGTCATTCGCAATACGCGTGGAGATGACTCAGCGACTCCGAATACAGAAATTCGATTTTACAATCGTCGTTGCGATAGTGTTTACAATAACTTTTTTAGTAGTTAGTGTCAAAAATGGCTTGCGTGTACAGCAACTCGGAGTTGATAGATATCATTTTAATTTATGGTAAAACAAGACAATATTTGTATTATGGTGAAGCAAGCCAACATTTGTGTTAGTTCGTAGAAACTGAGTAAGGCGGACCCAAATGAGTTTTACATGTCGGTGGACAAAGTTTTGCATAGTTGTTGTGACATCAGATATGTCAAGTTATTTTATTATTTAAAACTACACATTAATTTAATTAATTAATAATAATAATAGCGACAAAAGCAGTTGAATTTGCTGATATAAAATAGGTATATAAAATTCTATTTATTTCTTTTTTTGTTCGTTTTTATCACATTTTGCCGCTACGCTTATCTGATTTTTTCTTTACAAAATTGTATTTGTAAGAGTCCCCTGTACATCCAAATTTATTTTTCGGATAAGTTCTGAATCACCCTGTATAGTTTTCATTAGCAAAGGACTAAGGGTAATATGGTGATATTAGAGCACTAATTAACAAAAATAAAAAATAATGGAGTAATATGTATACCTAACTATATTATTTATATTTGTACATGAACATTTTCACCGTTTTTTAGGAGGCAGTTTAAAACTCCTCATAATTTTAAGAAATTGGACATAACAAAAAGGAATAATTATTTTTATGTACTCTTACCTGACCTGATTTCATGTGATACCTAGATGGAATCTGTACATCAAATTTTTTTGAATACAAAATAAATAAGTTGTCAACCAAAATTGCTTAAATTTTAGGTTCTCCTAAAACACTTTTATGTAGTCTAAGCAAACTTTTCTTTAGCTTTATATTAGATTCTCCTTTGCGAAAAATAATGTAAATGACATTGTGATGAAAAATGTTTACAATTTTAAGTAATAATAGCGCAATCGGATCTCAATACTACCACAGCATCATTCGTATATTTTTATAAAATTAAATAAGGTTATGTTATGCTTCTGAAGTCTGGAGTGAAGCTACGGAATATCTATTTTAAATTTTCAGCAATCAGATTAAAACCATACTTACAAAATTACTACTTTTTTAAATGTGATTACAAGTGCTTTGATATTCACTATCTTAACCACTTTTTGATAAAATGAATGAAGTGAATGAGTGTCATACATTTTAAAAATAATGATATGTAAATAAGAATTAAAGTCTCATTTTAAGGCAAATCTTCTGCTACTCTGTACAATTTTTTGTGAAATTTTGCTTTGCCAATTAACTTCCTATTTAGAGAGAAAATATGAATTTGAACAAAATGTTTTGAGCTTTACTCCTGAATTGCAATTAATACTATGTATACTATTTTTTTAATAAGTTTATAGCTCACTGGTTTTACTTCCGCTACATGTTCATTTGATAGTTTCATAATAACACCCATCAAGTATTTCTATCAATCAAAAGAAATCCAAGTTTGATTTAATTAAATACCATAGCAACATCCAATTAAATTACCTTAGCAACCAAACTCGATTTGGTTAAATTTCAATTATTCATATATCTACTGTAAAATAAACTAAAATTTCGCATTTGTACTGTAAATGAGAAAATATCTACGAATTCAAAGGAAAAAATCACAAAGCTGGTATTCGGAATATTTTTTTTATTCCTCATTTTGTGACTGCTTGTATAGTAATAATTATGATATCGACTACAAGAATATAAAATTATAAATTTAATTTCCATAATTAGGTCTGACCCACGCTCTCTAAGGCCCCATGTTTCATCCGATACTGTCATGTTTAAAAAAGTTGTGAATTACATCAGAGTCATTAATATCCACTTGTACATAGGTACAAATATTATTTGCCAAACTATCGTTGTATTGAGAAATTATTGATCTCTGGATATCTGTTCTTACAAAACACAGTATGTAAAATTTTAGTAAAATGTAGATTAATTTGTGATCCACTGTTTATTGGCAAAACTCGAAATTTCATTAGATGTTAGTAGCAACAATTTTGTGATATTGAAAGATGTATTTTGTATTATATACGAAAAGTATTGGAAGGGTTCATAATTTTTCTACATTGTAGTATTATCTGCCGTCAATATAAAACATCTTCATTTTTTTTAAAGGGGAAAGTTGAAGCAGAATTAGAAATTCTAATTTACGAGGAAGCCGAAAAGTCTCCAGTAGGCCTTGGGCGACAAGATCCACAAGCTTTACCTCCACCAAAGTAAGTGTTTCTTTATTAACGAAATAATTAGATTATTAAAACATAAACATTAAGTTTGTTTATTGGATCTGCTTTTCAATTTTTTATAGTGTTATCAAAATAAGGAAAATATAAAGTTTTGCTTTACTCTTAATATTGAGAGGAAAAATGTAGTTCCTTCAAAAAGACAATTGCCAAACTGTATTTATTTTATATATCTAGCAGTTGTATTAAATTTAGTTCCATAGAATATTAAAATGAATAAATTAAAATGGTTAAATAAAATGCTTATGGCTTTAAAACCGGAAATTTGTTCGGAAATAAAGTATCCACGTAACTCTTAATATGTTAGTAATTTTCTGAAGCCCTAGTTGTACATACATTTATCTTTGTGGTAAAACGAATCCGTATTAGGTTCTATTTATTTTTGTGACGGTTGGGTTCTTATGCGCAAAATTCAATGCTAGACGAAGCCTGTATGTCTATTGATTTGTTTTTTGTCCACGAAACTTAAAAATAATTTCTTATTTATTAGTTTTTTAAGATAATTCCGTTGTTTTTAAATATAATTATGTCAATGAAATTTGATATAGGGAGTTCTTGGGATAGCTGAATATGAGGATGAACTTATTTCTTACATAAAACATAGAGGTCGTTAAGAATACTTTAAACAATGATTGTTTTTGTTCTATCATATTTTTTTTGTGGAGTTTTGGAAAAAAGGGATGATATTTTATGAATCTCCACTTTACTTGTTATAAAAAAATATTTTTTGTTGCACAAAACCTACAGAATTAATTTTTTTTATTTTATAAAGTGTATTTTTCTAATAATTTACATATTTTTTTATATTTTTCTGCGTGGTCAGTCAATTGTTATAAATAGAAAGTTGTAAACAAAATTACTCGCCGAATAGCTTTGAAAATAGTTATTTACTATAAAATTGACCAAAATAAACACTTTTTGTTCTTTGACAAAAATTCGAAAAATGCTTCGTTTCCAAGATATTTACAATTTAATATGAAAAAAGAGACGAAATCAACAAACTTTCGGAATTTTTTTCTCAAAAACTAGACCTTCAATAAAATAATTGATTCATACCAAAAAAATATATCTAAAGTAGAAGATCTGCCGATTCGAAAAAAAATTCGAAAGTTTGTCGATTTTGTCAAAGAACAAAAACTGTTTATTTTGGTCCATTTTACAAAACAACCATTATCAACGCCATTCGGTGAGTAATTTCTTTTTACAACTTTTTTGTTCATAACAATTGACTGACCATGTCGAAAAATATAAAAAAAATATATGTAAATGATCAGAAAAATACACTTTATAAAATAATAAAAGTTTTATGCTGTAGGTTTTTGTTTTAAAAATTAAGTCGGTTACCTTCATTTAGAAGCATCTTTTTAGGGGTGAACCACTCGCCTATAAAATTCATCTTTCAAGAGAAAAATTAATTTAAATTTTTAACTTCTGTCATCAATTAACGACAAACAAGTTTTTGGGAATATTATAACATAGGTAAACTTTTCTCTGTCTCTTTTGCTTAATTTGCAGCTAAATTAAATATGATTTCATTGTATAGGTACATTATTTTAAAAAATAGAGGCAAGCGGCAATTGTGCGTAGAACCCACAAAAATAATAAAAAATAACATAACAAAAAATACGCAGTAGCCTGCATGCTATTTTTTAAAATAATTGCCTACAAACTTTTTTAGAGAAAATCATATTAGCAATCATTCTCTGAAATATATTAGTTTGCATAGGAAACGCTTTGTATATTATGATACTTTTATTTAGTGTATTTAACCCGAATCTAGCACTAGTTATTCTATAACATTTGCCACATTTCGTCGTTACTATCGACTACAACGCCGGTATGTGCAGTCTATCTGGTCTGTGCTAGGGTACATCGTCTACAAATTATAAAGAAAATAAAAAACGATTCTGGGTACGACCTAATTTAGAAAAACCTATTTATATGTAGTTATTTCAGTTACGATTCTACATGTATGTTCCGTTGATTATACATTGATATATCTTCCGTTGGAGCATTCCATTTTGAAACTGTGTGTAACCGAGGAAAGTTTGCGTACCCAACTAAGCGTTAGCTTCCATATACTAGCCACTGACCACAGAAACTCTTTTGATCTTTACCAACATAGGCAGAAAGCGAAATGAGTGACTTCAAGTTTCATATGAGACAAATAACTTTCAGAGAAATGCCCAGCTTTGTGCTGCTTGGGCTTCACATCTGTAATTCTAAAATTAAAATGAAATTATTTTATTCTAGACGACCAGATATTTCTTTCTCGTGGTTTAGACATCCCCTAAAAGCCTTGCAGTACGTGATTTGCAAACTGCACCGAAGGAAAATTTATACTGCATTGATATTCATTGTTCTGGTGACGCTGGGCTTCGTCGCAGTCTATTCCTTTCCAGGATACTTGGTGAAAAAGATTTTAGGAGCGTGATATTGATACAGACATTTTATGACCTATTTGTTGATGTAATTTATTAACTGAATAAATAAGTTGAATTTTTATAAAATTTATTTTAACTGAAGGAAAGCAACTTAAGTATTTTAAGGAGGTAAGTATTTAACACAAAGTTATGTAAGTACGTAATTTCATATATATTTTTTTATATCCAGTTAAATAATGATTTCATTAAAATAAAATACAAGGCAAGTTTGTTGTCATATTATTTAATTTTCTGTTAATATCTAAAATGGTAGCAAACACCCTATTGCGATCAAGTCTCTACTATTGAGTTATTGTAAGATAAATGTTTGCAGATCATATTTGTTCAAGTTGCTTATAAAATAAGTTAACGTTAGGTAACGTTAATTAAATGTCATATCACTTTATTTCTGGGGTAAATTCCCTCGAATGCAGTTATAACAACACACCCAGATCGATGTCCTAAACAATTACGTTACAACTTTATTCAGTATACTGTTTTACATTTTATAACATCACGCGGATGTAAAACTGTGTGTTTGTTTAGATTTTAAATAGCGAAAGTTGGAAAATGGTGGAACTTCAAGTTATTCCTATAAATCGACGTAATATTTAGAACCTATAAATACTTTTCACCGGTGAATAAGGTAGGCATCAAGAGTTTTAAGTTTTATATAGTAGGTATCTAATATAGTTTATCTTTAGACCAATAAAAAATATTAATCGTATTCTTACTTATAATAACGTTTCAACTAAATTAAGTTCTCCTCAGATTACTTTAAGTTCCCCAGAACACTAATCGGATATACAGGGTGTTTCTAAATAAGTGTCGCAACGGAAAACTGTAAATTCCTTTTGAAAAAAGAAATATACTTTTCCTCTTCCATTTTTCTCTCCGGGTTTTTGTTTTCGAGATACACGGTGTCAAAATTTTAATTTTTTAAAAATTTTTTGCCAATATCTTAGGAACTACAGGACTGAATTTTTGTACACGCGTTACCACTATTAATAGCTATCTTTTTCGCACTTTTCTCGAATTCATTGAACTTGCCAGTGGTGGAGATTTTAAGGTATCGTCAGGGTTTTTCCACCCTAACTTTTACGCCACTGGAAAAATTGATATGTGACAGCAAATTCTGAAGCACCAATGAATATTACACAAAAAGAGTTCTCTTGGTTCATTGCTCTAAAGTCAACCGTTTTCAAGAAAAATGACTTTTTATGAAGAAAAACAAACATTTTGCTAACGTTTCGAAAATCTTTTGTGATTCAAAAGATAGGTAATAATAATTAGCAATTTTAACGAAATTTAACATTTGCTGCAAGTAGTTATTAATAGTGGTAATGTATATGCAAAAGCTCAGTCCTGTAGTTCAAACGGTTCCCAAGATATTGGCAAAAATCTGAAAAAAAATTTTGACACCGTGTATCTCGAAAACGAAAGCTCGGAGAGAAAAATGGAAGAGGAAAAATATGTTTCATTTTTGTTGTTTTATGATATGCTTGTATTAAAAAATAAATAAAAATACTTGCCAATCTGAGATTTGAATAGCTTTAAAATAAATTCAAGATTAAAATAAAGTAAATGTTACTATTTTTATATTTTATTTATGTTTAATTTGTGTCAATGATCTCTGACGTTGATCTAATATAAGTAATTCATATTACGCTCATTTTACATATTACAACGAAGTAAACAATTGCACGTAGCAATACCGTGGTCATAAAAGTATTGAAGATATAAAATTCTGTACAAAATTTAGTATGTTTTTACTCTTTCGATTTATTCAGCTACTTCTTCGGCTAAACTAGTGCTAGATATATTAAATTTATTCAAAACAACTTGAAATAGGAACAAAATTAAGACGTAAATGATACGTACGAAATGAATACTATTATACCAAATTATGTGAAATCCGGTCCTGTATGAAACTATGAAACGTATGTGTGTTTTTGGAAGGAATTGGCATTCAATGTGTTTTGATCAATTGTTGATTAACTAGAACATGCTTGACCATTGTTTACATGATTGGAATAGACAAGTTGACTTTACACTCCTCATAAAAAGACCCCTAATTAAAGATGCGCTCTGCATACCTAAAAGAAAATATCATCAACAGATGATGAACGATCTTAGCTATTTACTAGATATTGCGAGTGTAATTCAATGATGTCGGGGCTTTAGTCCGCAGAGTAATTGTTTCCCACAATATTACTATTTAAAAACAAAATAAATGCTCTTTAAAACAAATACGCTTGTGAAGTAATTAATAGAACAGTTTTTACAATAAAATTCAAATTTGTGAAGAATTTTTTGACAACCCTGAACTTCAGAGCCAAAGTATCCTATCGATGACTTAATACGTAACTCAAAACATGCGTAAAAATTTATTTTCACCTGTCCTTTCAATTTATTTGGAAAAGCAACTGTCACGTAATTGCCGGCAACATCATGAACTCATATTTTATTTCTGCTTGAATTAAATATTTCCGATACGTTTATTACTTTTATCACTTAGCTAATAGAATAAACGCAACCGTTATTATCAGTCAGCTGAAGGAATTATTTTAGAATTTCCACTTAAGATGACAGTGCATGTACTTGTAGTACCCCTAACGGCGATAGGGAAATAAATAATTTACATATCAATAGTAATTAAATTGGCAACAAAACCAATCAATCCTCGTTTTTCATGATTAAAATTTCTGAATGAGATAGCGCGCGTCAGATGTTCGATCGCATTATAAAGATTGCTCTGGACAAGGATATGTTGATGTAGACGTCATTTTTCATGAGGATGTGTACAATACACTTTGTGAAATACTCTGTTGAGGTCGATTCCTATACCGTGCGGGTTTAGTGGTTGTGATTTTGCTAGTTTGGATATTTGGGAGGTACGTAAATTAATTAATTAAATATAGTTTTAACTATAGCTTAATTAAAATGTAATATTTGAAGGTGGAATAGCACCTGCGTTTAGCTGAAAGTGAACATAGATTACGTGAAACTCAATATTAATTAAAGTTCAATATTATGTTACTGCATAATTGCAATTACCTGTTGTCGAAACCCAGAGTAAGGTTAAATTCCTTCTAGGTACTTCTACCAATCTATTAGTTTGGTTAGTATTAAATTCAAAAGATATAATAATTAAATTATAATAGAAAGTTCTAGATATATCTACAGGTTCAAAATTATTTGTTTGTGAAACTTTTGGCTCGATAAACTTAATACGAGAATGAGACCGTATGGCCCTATGGCCGTATGACATTTTGCAACATCCTTGAAACTTTGCGATGTTGCACTTAGTGCAAAAAGTGAGATAAATATAAAGAATGTTCCAAATTACCATGTGCCAACAGCTTTATAGAAGAAAAAAAGATAAATGTTTCCTGTACCTATAACATTTTTAGTTTTGATGGCATTATCATAATCAACAAAAAAAGTCGAAGCATATTATTTAATTTTATTTGTCAGATTATGTCAACATTTTAAGAATAAATAATCTATTATAAATTTTGTTTTTGTTTAGAATATATTCAGATCGTAAGTAACAACTTTTTAAATCTTTCCTGTGGTGTACCCGAATAAGTTAAAAGATAAATGTTTACTATGAATACTCTACCTATTACTGCGTAAAATATTTCCCTCTTTGTTCAAAATAGCGATTGGTGGTGCAATATTTGGCAAATTATTCAATTAAAGCAATTATTTGGAAGCAATCGATATATCACCTGCATGAAGTATATGGTGAAGTTTCATGTGGGAGTACACTGAAAAAACAATTACTTTCTATTAAAGCAATCGGTTGTTTTGAATCCAGTCAGTTTACATTTATGCTAATTATATTAAGATAAACCAGTTACATTCAATACAAGTCATTTGATTTGTTTGAATTAAAAAAAGAAACAGTTTACAATAGGTTTGTCTATAATTAACAAATTAGATTTAATATAACCATTTATTAAAAATATCAGCATAAACTTCTGGATAAATATTTCGCTTCTTTCTGAAAATGATGACTGTCCACATTAAAAAGAAGTTTAAACTTACTAGTTGATCTTTTGAAAGTAAATTTATTTATTTCGTACAAAGAAAATAATTTGCTATGAAATCTGCAATTCTGATCAAAAAATATACTCTTCATACTGTCTGATTTTTTCTAATGTAAACTATGTATTTTATACGCTGTTCCGAGAAAATTCATTTCCTAATGTACAACTTCCGTTGGTAATACACTTTTCACTCCAATCATCATGTTAATATTTGAAAGGTGTAGAATAAGGTAAATATAGGCATGTCTGTAATTATTCTAGAAGTCTGCAATTATTAATAATTTTAACATAGACTTCTATGTTGAGGCTAATACCTTTACTTAAATAAATATTGTATTTATTTGTATTAACACTGACATAACACATTTTTAAATAATTAAAAATTTTTGGAAGAATAATAATTATTCTTACATATAATTACATATCCTTATAATTTTCATTTTTGGCAATATCTAATACTGAAGTTAAAATAAGTATAATCGAAATGAGCCAGGAATTTACTTATTTACTTCGACTTCGAATACTCGAAGGTACAACCATCAAGTATAAATACATACAGGGTGCCCCATAATATATGGGCAATCTCTCGGATTTATCTAAGGGACGTTAAAAATAACATGAAGTTCCTATAAAAAATTTCCCTAGAGGGACGCCTATGAAAATCGATTTTTTTTTCTAACTTTTAAAATACTTTGTGTAATTTAATTATTGTTTGGAAAAAAGTGGCACTTTTTAGATAGGCACGGAAATAATGCAAATTTAATCGGTTTATTTCTCTTTACGGATGTCTAAAAATCACATTAAACAAAAATAGTTTTTTTACTGTGCTACAGCTAGTCCGTCCCTGGCAAACCAAATAAGTTAAATTATTTCCATGGGTCAGTTTTTAAGGAGTCTTATCTGTTGTGCATCACATTAAAAAATAATTAAATTACACAAAGTATTTTAAAAATTATTTAAAAAAATATAGTTTTTCAAGGGCCTGTATCTCCATAGGCCTTCTAAGGAAAATTTTTAGGGACTTATCATGTTATTTTAACGTTCTGTATAAATCTGAGAGATTGCCCACATATTCTGGGACACCCTGCATACAAATCAGATCCTTTAAACAAGTAATGAACCGTTTGAAAGTATAGTCAAGTAATATCCAGGATACTTAACCATTTTTTCATTACTAATACTAATAAATATAAGAAATAAATAAAAAAAATATATATTTTTTTGTAATATAACTAATAGTTATAGAGTTGTTAACTATACAATATTGATCAAAACCTTAACATTCTGTTTAGGTATTTTTAGGATCAGTCAACGTAAGACTTTCTTCCTTCACTAATACTGGCCTTTATACAGACGTTTAAATTGCCATTTAATCTTGGTCATACAACTATAAGAACATTAGTATTCGTTTTTATTAAATCTATCCAAATTCATACACATCTGTCATATCGAGCGTTTCATCCCTACTACACAAGATCAACTCTTTTTGTTTCCTTTTCCCTTTTTCATTATTCTATTTCTCTTTCTGTAGCTTTCCCTTTTAGTTCTTTGGATTGTTGGAGATCAATCACATTAATAATTATTCAGAGGTTTTTTCTGATTAATATATTCGTTTTACCTGGCTAACGACCTCTTGCCTTAGGGCAAGACATAATAATTTCTGCAACAGTTACCTCAAAAGTCGATAAATTTTTTACAGAAAATTATTGTATCTGCATCCTGCTACAACTTTAGGACATTTTGTGTAACCTATCTCGTCAAAAGTTGGAAAATTGTAGAATATATCATTTGGGCAATTATAAAGTTTTAACACGTTTATTTATTCATTATAACAAAATTCAACATATTACGAGTGATAAATTTAGTATCCTGAATATTCCGTATTAGACTGCATCAAATTACAAATGAACCTCTCAAAAATGAATATTGAAAGGATAAATATATTCTCCTGTAACCGGAAAAAGGAGCCTCTTTAATATGAATATAAATTAGATAATATTGCAGTGTATCCTCCCGAATATATTAAAGACCTTGGGGTTACCTTTGATGAAAAACTTACGTTTTATAAACATGTTGATTAATTCAAAGGTTTTACAAATACCAATGTATTTTTTAATGCATTCATAACATCCAAACTTGAGTACCGTTCATTGATATGGAATACTGGCAACAGCTGGGATTCCTCTGTTTTTGTTTAAATTATTACACAATGATATTGATATTCCTCAAATGTTTGAAAATGTTACATTTTCTTTATAGCGTATCCAGATATTCGAAAATATGTCATATCGCTCTCCTAGAATTAATTTATTAAAGTTTGGTATATTTTGTACAACTGTAATTAGTACAGAAAGTTTGTGAATAATTCATTTCTAAATATTTCAATTTAAATTATAAAATTTTAAGTTAAATTTGAGCAACTTAAAAAAATTATTCCAGTTAAGAAAAAGTACCTAGTCTTAGTTATAATTTTTCCTTAGATTCCTTCTCGGATTCCTTTATATAACTTTTGCAATGTAAATAGCTGTAGGTAGCTGATGTAGTTATATATTATTAAATTCTTTCTTAATTTAAGGTGTTTTTAAAGATTCGATTCTAAAAACCTTCTTAAAATTAAATTAAGATACCAGGTTTGTTGCCATTCTTTATTTTTCTTAAATTTTAGTATAAACGTAGAAATATCTATAAAGCAAAAAAAATTTATACTTGATATAAAGCAGTTTATTAAAATAAAAGCAATATCATAAGTAAATATAGATGAAAAAGTAATTATACCCTAGACAGTTAATTGTAGCCTTTCCATAACAAACTGTACATTAGGTATATTACCTGTTCGACAAAAAAAATAACATTTCATTTACAAAATAGTAGTTATTTTGGTTTGAAAACTGTCCCGAACGAACATAAACTGGTTGCTCACATACTAGTATAAGTTTTTACTTATTTCATGACAATAAAAGATGTATGTTATAGATTTTAATTGGAAAAAAGTAAAAAATGCCGAATCTACTACACCTTATGCAGATGATGAGGAACTGGAGAATTGATGGAGACTATACTCGGAGAGTTGCACCATCTACACCTATTATTACAGTGCTTCCTGTAGTTGAAGATGTAGAGAAGATTATAATACCAGAAGAAACTGTGGAAAGTTCTAGAGAAGCCAAGGATAATCTTGTGGTAAGTTTTACTTCTATGTATAGACTAAGCAATGATAAATGTATAAAGGATTGCCATGTTATATTTGTCTTACAGATTCTAGTAATAGCAGGCCATTATGCATGCGAAAGCCAGTAATATGTAAAAGTAAATAATTGTCTTCGTATGTCAGCCAACATATATGTCACATGTCCCATATACAATAAATCGCAAATTAATAGTTGAGAATAATTCTCAATAAATTATATTGATTAAATTATGTAAATATGTATTCGTCTTTGTATATTAACCTGTCTAATCGATTCTTAAAGAGTCACTTCCAAAAGAGGTCGAGGAAGTGGTTCCAAATTTTCTTTACAAAACACTGTAAAATGTCAGTGCATAGTTTTATTCCGATTGAATACAATTGTATCTAAAGATTGTAGTTTTAATACATTGAACATTGAACATTGAACATATACAACTTATTAATTTTTATTAATAATATTTCCGTGTCCTTTTTTTGTCTAATCAGTGCTGTTTGGGTATTTTTTATCTTATAAAATGCTGTTGTAGTTGAATACATGGGAGTCAATAGACTAATAATTCGTGTACCACTACATTCTGAAAATAATCGATGAGAGATGAAAACATTACAAAATATTGCACTAAGCCTGTTGACAGGTATGATAGTAATGTTTAATTAGTGATTTAATGATAATTTGCCCCATCTGTTTGTTACTAATGAAACCGATTAGATTAAGCACTTATCTTTTTTAACTATCTAATTTGTTTATTTTTTTGTTCGATAAATGATATACCGCAATTTTGCAAAAAAATGTCATTAAATATAATATGTACCTTACGTGATCTTTACAGAAAATATTAATTTAGACTATCTAATTTTAAGACAATTTTCTGAAACAAAAATTACAGTAGGTAAATAAAAATATATTAGCAACTTGCTGGACAAGGCTAACCATTTTCGAGGTACTTGACATTATATATTTAAGACGAATTAAACAGAAAGCAATAAAGTAAAACTTAAGATATATTTTCTCTAATTAATTCTACCATGTGAAAACTTAAAAAATTACTCGCCTCGTATAGTTTTATAATAATTGGATACCTGCAGTATTTCTGTTATAACTTATATAGTGAATTATCAAAACTCTTTTTTTGTGTTACTTATGTGTTTTATTTTTTGACGCTGTGACAAATTGTAACAGACATGATATATGTATTCGTAATAACAAGAAAAAATATCATGCATGAAATACATCGGAATGGAAAAGGGTTGACAATCCTAAAGTAAGGAAAATGAGTAAAATTTCACAGATACTGTAACATTTCTGTAATAAACAAGGTTATAGGTTTTTATAATTTCCAAATATGTAATAAATATTTCGTGTTTCACTATAATTTATTTGCAGGACTAATTATATTCAATATAATTGAATATAATAATAAGTATGGATAAATATTACTCAGATAACAAATGAACAAGACCTAGTATTAACTCTAGGCACATTAAAATCTACAGAAGTATCAGTATCAAATTTGGTACAGATTTTTTTATTACTTACTCTCTTATATTGAGTCATAAAAGAATGAATTGCATATAATCTAAATTTTCATAAACATTTCCAAGCTCTACCTATTTGTGAGAAGTCAGAGTTGATCCATCATTCATTTAAACTTTTAGTGTTAATTTTGACTAAGCAACACCTTGTAGAGATTGGACAATCATTGAATTAAAGAACAGATTGGATATTCCCGGCGCATTCGCCACAACTGATACAAATTTATACAAAAGTCTATACTATATATGTATATATGTATATGTGCCAGCGTTTCTTTATTTCGTATTTTTTTCATAGAACTTATTCTTTGTTCATGGGAAGGAAACGTGAGAGATATAAAACGTTATTGTGAGTTTATCATGGTAAATCTTAACCCCCGTCAAACATGATGACTAAGGATGTGTGGATGCTAGAAACTGTTTAACAGGAATTGATTATTTTGCCTTAATATGATGTGTATACCTTCCTTCGTTGTTTACAGTGAAGGTTCTTATATGTACGAAAACACAAAGTGTTGTTCACTTAAGTCTTTTTATCGGAGGTGTTTCATCCTTAATATAAAAAAGATACATACTTTTTTATGTAGAGTTATTCCTAATTATGTGTATGAAACATTATAACTACTGAACCTGGCTAAAATTCAGCCACCCATCATAAAAATTCTTATGGTTATAAGTTATTCTTTATATAATTAATTTAAAAATTTCATATTCATATCCAAATTATATTGAGTTTTCAGTCTTTAGAAACAAGAATATCAAATAATAAATTCCAGACGAATAAGTAAGCCCCAAAAATCAAGTGGATTCAAATTTGCAGAATATGGTGGCCAAACAATAAGACATCTATTATCTATCCATCGTTTGAGATATTATTCATTTAACTACTGCAATTGAATACTACCATATTTTTTTTGTTGTGAAAGACTTCGTGATTGTTTTATTTACTTAATTAATTAAAATTTTTAATTATAATTAATATTGAAGACAAGTTTATGAGGCAGACTTGCAACAATTTGGAAGTTCTATCTTTCTCCGGAATTTTTTTACATGTGCTGTTAATCACTTACTCTCATGCAGCATGCAATTAAAGTTTGTTGCTCTGATATAAATTTAATTGTTGTCACGTAATAAGAATATGTATATTGATCTAGTTATTTTAGATATAAAAGCATGAAATGTGTTGTAACTGCGACACTACTTCTATTATTGCATAAAGTTTCTTATCACTATTTATAACTGGCAGGGGGGCAACTGAAGAAACTATAATTTTCGACATAAATGATGGCACCATTAGCTTGTTTTAACCGACTTTTCCAGTGACATACGAACAGTTACAAGAATAAACAGTACCTAACAGAACTTGTAAACTGAAACAAGTGTATTTTAAACTATTTGTAGAATGTGACTAAAGTGATATAAAGTAAGTTGAAGATATTATAATCTGTTAAGTTTGTACCTTATTAGAAAAACATTTACGTACCCTTGTACTGGGTGTACTCGATAGTATGGGCCTACTATGATACAAAAAATTTATTTAAATAAAATTTGGGACACGTAGTGTTAAATGGGATGAGGTAAGCTCCATTTTCAATCGAAAGTATTATCTTATATCGTCCAAAACAGTCTCAATAGAAATACCACCTAAAAGCGGTGGAAGGATCCAGTAGTCCTTGGAAAATAATTGAGTGTTCGCTTTTTAAAGTGCATAAATGTCATTAAGAGAAATAAAAGGATTAAACTCGATAATTCTTTAACACAGTTAAAACAAAAGGTGATGATAACAATAACTAAATTCAAAAAATGAAGCAAACGCTTTCATACTACATATGTATTACANGAATAAACAGTATCTAACAGAACTTGTAAATTAAAATAAGTGTATTTTAAACTATTTGTAGAATATGACTAAAGTGATATAAAGTAAGTTGAAGATATTATAATCTGTTACGTTTGATAATTTTATTTAAAAAATCCATTGTTTTGAAAACGAAAGTGGAGAAGTTTTTGAAATGTATACAGCTAATGTGGGTAGTGTTTTATAGTGATGTGTGCATTTACCTCACATTGTGAATTTACTATTATGGCGCAGAGGTTTACCTACATTTTTTTATATATTCCAATTCGCGGTATGAAAAATACAAAATAAAATAATAAGGTAGTAACTTTAAAACATGTTCCATAATTAAATTGAAACTGAAACATGACCAAGTTTGTACCTTATTAGAAAAACATTTACGTACCCTTGTACTGGGTGTCTTAAACTCGATAGTATGGGCCTACTATGATACAAAAAATTTATTTAAATAAAGTTTAGGGTACGTAGTGTTAAATGGGATGAGGTAAGCTCCATTTTCAATCGAAAGTATTATCTTTGGGATTTGACTAGGGTTTCTGGTCAAGACTTCTCGAAGCGAGAATTCCCGGGAAATCTGGCCTTACTCGAGACGAGAAAAAAGTGTCGAGAAATCGAGAAATTTAAAAATCACGCACGTCTTAAATTCTTAACTGGAGTTCGTTTCGTTCATGCGTTCAATTCGTTTCTCGACAAATAACTGAGCGGTTAAAGTGGTTTCTCTACCAGCTCATGATTTATTTATTTTAAGTTTTTAAGGCTTTAGTTTACTTTGATGATTNAAGGGGGGGTCAAAATATAGTGAATCACCCTGTACCTAGTTATAAGTCTGTGTAGAAATTTTATTATAAGCAGATACCTAATGTTGAAGTGATAAATTAATAGGAAGAACGCTTCTGTATCTTTAAATTAAAGCTTGTTTTTTTTAAGATTTCTTCGGTTAAATTCCTTATTTACTATTTATTTAATTAAAAGACTGCATGATTAATGATTATTAATAATTATTATTGGAAGAAAACTACGATTCAAAAACATTGAAATAAACATAAGTATATTGAAAGTGTTTAATAAAAAAACAAGTTAAAGGTTTTTAAGAAGAAACTCAAAGTTTAATTTAGTTTTGTTAGTAGAAGTAGAAACATAAGTAATTAATAAAAATACTGAATAAATAATAAATGTTAATGATGATTGTTAAGTATAATAGCATGTTTATATTTCGCATTGCAATACCAAAATTATGACTTTTTAAGTTTTAGAAATTTCTCGAGAATTCCCGGGAATTCCTAGTCGAGAATTCTCGAGCCCCGAGAAAAAAGTAGGCCGAGAAATCAGAAACCCTAGATTTGACAGAAAGGACTAATGACGTCATCAATTATATTTTTTCCAGAAGCATACCCAAATTTTTTAAGAAGCTCTCGTTTTTCTAATAAACTTTTATTAGAGAAATTTTTCTGTATTATTTCCCGTTTAAAAGTTATAAGACCACCTAAAAGCGGTGGAAGGATCAAGTAGTCGTTGGAAAATAATTGAATGTTCGCTTTTTAAAGTGCATAAATGTCACTAAGAGAAATAAAAGGATTAAACTCGATAATTCATTAACACAGTTAAAACAAAAGGTGATGATAACAATAACTAAATTCAAAAAATGAGGCAAACGCTTTCATACTACATACGTATTACAATCTATTCTTTATATGGCCTCTTATTTCAAAACACATACCCAATCTTCGCCTGACTTCTTTGTGGGCTGCGTTTATTAACATTTCTCTGTTTAACTCATTACAAGTGTTTGGATTGTCTCTTTCAAATGATGATCTCGCGGAGGTGTTTTGTAAACCTTATTTTTTAAAACTCCCATAAAAAAATCGAGGAGTGTTAGATCTGGTGACTTTCCGGGACACTGAATAGGTCTATTAAGCCCAATCCATTTTTCTGGGGAAGTGTTATCTAAATATTGCTGCACAATCCTGGCCTTATGGGGTGGAGCCCCGTCATGCTGAAACTATAGATTTCTCCTTAGCTGCAAAGCCACGTTCTCCAGAAGTACAGGAAGTTCTTGTAGGAAATTTAGGTAATTCACGCTGTTCAATGTTCATAAAAATAAGGCCCAATAAAATGTCTACCGATGATGCTGCACCATACGTTTTCTCCAAAATGGCCTTGGTTTTGGACTAGATTTACAATGTGGTGATTTTCAATGGACCAGTAGTGTTCGTTGAGCCTATTTGGCAAACCATTACTGACAAACCGACTTTCGTCCGTCCAAAGAATGTTCAGAAAAAGGTTCTGATCAACAGTTTCTACATTTACTACAATTTGATCTATAAAATTAAGTCTGTTTTCAATGTGACAAATACTCCAAATTGTGAATTTTGTAGTCATGATACCCATTGGTCTTTAAAATTCGTTGAACGGCTGATTTATCCAAATTCAATTCCTGGCTAGCCTGCCGTATAGAATTTCGTGGATTTTGTTCGAAATACTGTAACAGTTTAACTGTATTAACATTGTTTCTTACCCTTCGGTCAATTATTTGATTTTTCCGAACAGAAAATGCATCTTCATTTCTTTTTAACAGGAAAAAAAAATTGGGTATGTTTCTGGAAAAAATATAATTGATGACGTCAAATAATACTTTCGATTGAAAATGGAGCTTACCTTATCTCATTTAACACCACGTGTCTCAAATTTTCTTTAAATTTTTTGTATCCTCACAGTAGCCCCATACTATCGAGTTTGAGACACTGTGCATAGAAACTTTCTCTTGTTTTAACGAGAACAAGGTTGCGGTTTAATTCGGATACCTTGTTATATTAAATTAATTGGTGGGCGCAAGCCAAATTTCGCTTGATGATAAAAAAGCATAAAAAATATATATACCTATGAGGTGACTTTGTCTATCAAGGTATTTAGCAGAATATTATGAATACCATCATAAATATTTACTCAATGTTATCGTCCGCACACCGAAGCAATATAAAGGTAGATAACATTAATAGCGAATTAAGTATTTAAAAATGCTTTTAGACATGGTGGCTGTCATCGCTGCGTTCCATCAAGAACAAAATTGGGCTCCAAAGTGCCTCCGGTAGCTGCAGCGAACTTCAGAATATGTTGTCCGCTACAGAGAGGAAAGGGTCGAGTAACATGGAGAAGTCTCCGAATGATCCTGGGATATGTCTCATTTCTCAGAGCCCCTTCAGGATATTACGGGTAAGTGGTAAAATATTGTCGCCATTTGTTGAGTTGGGGATATTTATAATTTCATAATTTTGAAGGGAACTACAGAAAAAATTTGCATAATTTTTTTTTGGAAATCCTATTTTTGATACTTAAATAGAATGTGGTAGTCAAACTCAACAAAAATCATTGATAATGATTTTTTTTATAGAAATACTCTAAAAAATTAGAAAATTTTATGACAATGATTCTTTTGGCACTATATTTAAAATTAGTTCTTGTGAAGCGAATAATTTAGCTCTTACTGTTGATTTTTTCAACTGATGTTAGATTAAAAAAGTACGTCAAAATCGTTCGTTTCCCGAATAAAATATAAAAAACCATCTTTAAATTTCAAAATATTCAGTGGTGTTAAATTCTGGGGTATTTGCTGACAAAATTACATTAATCTAGTCTATAGTCAAAGTTTAACCAGTCTACATTAGAGATATTTGCGCGAATGTTACATTTTCCAAAAATTTGAACACCCTTTTGGCTTGAAAATTGCGTTGATTCATAAGAACCTTTCTTCAATGATCCTCTATTATAGATGGCAAAATTACTTCTTGAACAGTATTTGATAATATTGATAATTGTCTTGTGTATTTATACTGTAAACGTCGTAGTAACTATTAAGTAAAAGTGACTAAACTATTTTCTTATTCGTTCAAGTAATCACAGTTTTATCCTCGGTTTAACTTCAAACAAAACATTCAAAATATCTCGAAGATAAACTTACCAGTAGATATAATTCAGATATCTATATGGAAATAATATACTGTTCGAAAAGTTGAAGATTGGAATCGTTAATAATGATAGTAATCATTCCTATTCTAAAAACAATGTTGCACGCATTTTTATAACCCTGGAGTCGAGTGAAATATTCGTAGTCTGAAAACGCTAAATCAAGGTAACAAAGAGAAATTTCATGGAAACTTCAACTTATGCAACGTCTTTAAAAAGATAGACAATTTAAAAAATACGTTTTTTTTACTTAAATCGGTGCAGCATAATCCGATTTCCAGTATTATGTTAACTACAAAGCTAGGAACTGCCAGTAACCAATCGTAGTTTGATTATGGGCATGGCATTCTACGTGGGTGGGGCCGATCCATACGAACCTGACGAATTTACCGCAGCGTGTGTAGACGGCTTTATCAGTTTTCTGCAGATAAAACACAGTCACTGTTAGTATTAATCATATTCCAGGACATAATAGGTTTTTAAAAAACATATATTTTATTATTAGATCTAATAATTTTTACTGTATGGTATTAAGGCAATTTCAACTATTCATTCAATTTTTCCAAAAATCCATATCAAGTAAAGTCAAACGATGATTTTCAATAACAAAGCACATATATCCCCACAGACAAGACGCAGAAAACTAATATTACGGAAAACGACTAAATAAGATTTTTTTTTAAATATTTATTTTAATTTCTGTCCAAAAAGCTGGAGATACTAGACACCAAAATATTATGTTCGAGCTTATCATGCCTTATACAAATGTCGCTGTTTTAAGAAACACAGGGTTTTCAAGGTTTTTTTGGTGAGAAAACGAATCTGAAGCTTATTTTGATGTTGCTCTTAAAGGGCGGTAGTTTCACCGTATTATTTAGGTAAATCAAAACATATTTTTTTATCTCTTGAGCGATGCTTAAAAAAGTAAAAAATCTAAAACAACGTTCAATTATACATAAAAAATATACTCTTGTTTAGGTCGCCTAACTTTATCGGTTTCTAAGTTATTTGCATTTAAAAGTTTCAATCTTTTGAGAATAAAAAATCATCACAAAATACATTGAAACTTTTAAATGCAAATAACTCAGAAACCGATAAAGTTGGGCGACCTAAACGACAGTACATTTTTTTTTGTAGAACTAAACATTTTTTTAGATTTTTAACTTTTTTAAGCATCGCTCAAGAGATAAAAAAATATGTTTTGATTTACCTAAATAATACGGTGAAACTAGCGCCCTCTAGGAGCAACGTCAAACTAAGCTTCAAATTCGTAATTCTCACACCAAAAAAACCCAACACTACCAATTTTGAGAGTCATGCTATCAAAACTTTCTCAATTATTGAGAAATTTCAGAATAAAATTTTAACTTTGAACACCCTGATGAGCTCAAACATAATATTTTTGACCCATTATTTCTGACTCGCCCTGTGTGTAGATATACTAACTTTTATATAGACCCTCTACGAATAGAAGCAATCTGTCTCTACGGAAGGGAATTTATGAACATTGGGTTACTGTCGTGATAAAACTGCATCAGCTTGCTTTAACAACTGGATATTTTCAGAATACTAATTTTCAGCCGGAACATTTTTCAATAGACTGGTTTTCACAGTTTACCTGCAAAACTTTTGCAAAAATACGATGTCGACTATTAAATTAATATACTTATACAATCATGTTTAAATTTTACTTTCAGTTTTGAAGTGTGAATAGCCAAGGGACTTCCGAATGTCAGAAATATGATGAATGTGTATATTACGTTTGTTACTTAAAACATTAACTATATTATAGCACGTTTTATTAATTGCTTATATGAATTCATAAATTTCTTCTATTTAGATAGAGTGGTTACCTGAAAATTGTTTCCCCCTTACACTTCTTCGTTCTGGTGGCAATTTACTTACAAAGTGTTTGAAATTGAAAAATTGCCAAAATTAGTATTGTAAATTAGGTAACTATAGTTTTACAAATATAAAAATGCTCCTAAGATATTTGGAAGAAATTCCAAATATACAGGAGATAACTAAAATACTTGGGCAAACTTTAATGTCGGATTATATAATATTTATATTATATAATATTTCCTTTTGCAAAAAACAATTGATGGAAACAATGCAAATAATATTTACGTTCATCCCTTCGAGCATATACTATTGAAGGTAGTAGAAATCTTTAGGTTTGGTTCGAGTGCAAGGATACTTTTTGTGAGTACCGGTGTAACTAATGGTACATGTCAAATTGAACGAAATAACCTGAGTTGTTCTTTAATTTAAACATTTTGCTGACCATGTATACAAGCAACTGAATGAATACTTTTTAATATCCGGACATACAGTAATATCAAATCAGTGGTAGTAAGCAAGCTTATATTTCTGAAAGGCTGAAGTCCTAGCAAGTCCTCGTTGTGAATAGAAGCGTATTTTATTTCATTCGTAGAACATGGCATTATGACTAACTTAAAATTGAAATTATATTCTGAACGTTCTATTAGATTTAGAACCTTTTTACATCATTTTTTAGAAATAATATGTCTTGTTGAGTAGACATTCAAAATTATAATCCTGAGTGACTTGAAAAGCTGTTCTATTCTCTCAACTTTGTAATTTGGTAGAGTTACATTAGCTTTAGATCGATCTTATCTTAGTCTTTAATGATTAATATTGTACGAATATTATAATCATTAATACCCAAAACATATTGTTTTTATTTCAGCAGAGTTCTTACATGTTAATCATTCCATTATTATTTATATCAGCTCGCAAGCAACAGTTTTCTTACAAGTAGATTTTAAAAAGTGATTATACTTAAAACATAACATTTAATACGAATTAACATTACATTTTCCATTTTTTGTTATGTCGACCAGAACTTACACTGACAGGAAATTTATTTTTGACTTCAAGGTAAATTTCTAAATCATAAATTATTGTAGACACCGTATTAGACATGTATTAATTGTTCGGGTAATGAATTTCTTGCATGTTTATAGGATAAGTTCAGCGTGCCGGCAATTTTTAATAACGTAAGTAAAAAATTGCTTCCCAAAGGAATATATCAATTCGATAAAGGTACTTGGTATAAAAATACCAATATAATTAAAAATGGCGCAGTAGAAAATTTTAATCTATGAAGAGTCATTTTGTTAAATCTATTGAAGCGACTATACAGGGTAGATAATTATTCCGAAAATAGTAGATTATTAGGCTCAAAATAGAAAAATGTTTTATATACAAGTCTTGTTTTGTATATGACTTAGCTGGTTTTTCTATAAGAGTATATAGCTGTGTATCAGAATTGCAAAGTTTACCAGAATTCAGATGTATACAGTAACGGGCCAAGAATGGATCCTTGAGGAACCCCGCAAGTTAAAACTTTTCTTTGGGCAAATTATTATAAATCAGCACAGACTGCGTACGTCTATACAAATAATTTTGTAAGAGATCTGAACATAATTTAATACTGTTTACATGAAGCAGTCAATATATTTTCACGCTTTTTTAACAGACCATCGCATTTTCTTAAGTTGAACAGGAAATGTTCAGTTTACGTTGCAATCTTAGAATTTTCCACGATGGCATCATGGATTAAAGTTTTAATACGGTTTCCTAAAGCACTCTAGGAATCTAAGAGTCTTATTCTCTGAAGATAATCTGCAAAAAGTTAAAACTATTTCATACGCTAAACTGTTTCGCTCTTTCATCTACAAAATTTGTTATTAGTCACCATTTAAGTTAGTTTTACGAATATAACGCAAATCTCTTACAAGATTAAATGTTTGAAATTGATGAAAATATGTTTTCGATTCATACTAATTAAATAGAGAAAAATTACATCAGTAAATTCTCTGAACATATTTATTTGTGACACTTCTTAAACATATTTATTCTTTGGGTGTTTTCAGCATTACTGAATATTGATTTTATTGATTGACTTTATTCTGAAGTCACTGTGTGATTTAAACTGCAATTTGTTACATTTTTCTAACGATTCATATTTTCAGGAGATTAAAAAACTACCTAGCTGTTATTTTACGACTTTAGAAAGCGATCACGTTGCGCCAGAAAAGTAAGATGGAACGTGTTGTAGTTCTACGTGCAGTGTATCCACAGCGTACTTCAGAGATAAATTTCGTTTAGAGCAATGCCCCACCTAAATTAAATCTTCAGTCTCAGACGAAACGATCAGAACTATCCCTGACAGACAAAATTTTCAGCATTAGGTATAGCCGCAGTTAAAAGAATCACGTTTC